GATGAGTTGTTTATGCGCTTTTGGTGAAATTTTGGTAGGCTGGCCACTCCTTGTTCACTGCTGTTCTGAGCTTTCTCCATTTGTGGATAATGGCTCTCATTGTGGTTCGCTGGAGTCCCAGAGCCTTAGCAATGGCTTTGTAACCCTTTCCAGACTGGTAGATTTTAGTGACTTTGTTTCAGATCTGTATTTGAATCTATTTAGAACGTGGCATCATGTGCTGCTTTTTAAAACCCTCTAGCCTACTTCACATTGCCAGACAGGTTCTATTTAAATGATGTTTAGATACAACAGGTCTGGCAGTAATCATGCTTGGGTGTGGCTAGTGAAATTAAACCAAATAGTCAGTTGAATTTGGTTAACTGCTTGATTTAGTAGCTAAGGGGACATTCCTTTTTCAAATTGGGCCAGGTAGGGCTGAACAGCATTTTTCCTTCAATAATTGAAATCATCATTCAAAAACAGCATTTTATGCTTACTTGGGTTACCACTGTCTAATAATAAAAGTAGATTGATGATCTGAAACACTCAGCTGTGACAAAAATGCATAAAAGGGGGCAAATACTTTTTCGCAGCACTGTATATGCATATGTAAGTGTTCAACTCTGCAAGGGTTCTTCCTAAGAAGAATCTTTTTGCTAGAAAATTTCAAGCATGAAAGATAAGGCATGGCTGTCTTTGGGGAAAAAGAACTCAGAAATTCCTGTAAGTTCCCACTAGTTTAGAGTTTATCTACACACTCTGTTCAAACCTGTTACATTGTGTCTGGCTTTAATCTGCTCTGAACTGGGCCTTCTCTCTAGATTTATTCCTTTTTACCTTAGCAGAGAGCTCATGTGAGGTCAGCTCTGCTTTACATGTTATCACATACCTTACACTATAAAGAACAAAAACTACCATTCTAAATTGCTGCTTTAACACACCAAAGCAACTCATGAACAGAATAAGGTTTCTTAGAGCAGGAAAGCACTAAACATTGCATAGCTGTGGCCTTTCAGGAATTCATTTTGACACCACGTCTTAGATCATCTCTAAAATAGTTGACACATCTTAGTGAGTATGGTGGGCTGGACTGAAGCAGACTGAAGTAGATTGTGATGTCTTAAGTGTATTACATGTTACTACTATTACCCATAGTACTGCTCTATAACTAGTCCCAGTTGTATTTGTAGAGTTTTCACTTAGGTTACTGTAGGCATGATGTCTCTCCACATTTCTTACAGCAGACTCGTGATGGAAACCACTGTTAATTCCTTCAGCTCAACCCTAGTTGACCACAGCAGGAAGCTGTTGACCAAGAGGAACAAACAGGAACAGATGTTTGCTAATGGCCGTGAACAGCACAACATCTGCTTTCTGATAAGTCCCCAGTATAAATAATACAGAACCTTACACTCAGACCTAAGACTTTGTAATGACAACAACAAAGCATTTACATGCATTCCAACACAAAAAGGTCAACAGAGAGACAGAGCAGTAGAGACATAGAGAGAGTGAGAGAGAGAGAGAGAGAGAGAGAGAGAGAGAGAGAGAGAGAGAGAGAGAGAGAGAGGACAATTGCTCTCATTGGGTCAGCTGCCTGGTCTGTAAACTCATCCTCGTGCTTCTGAGGAGGGGCTGACTACATCATGAGGTGTAATGCTACCTGTTGAGTGTTTTGGAGTGTGTAAGACCAACCACGCAGATAGCAACTACAATACACTGAACTGAGCAGCAAACACGCTGTCCTAAAATACTGAGGGTGGGAAACAAGAAATACAATGACCTGAGGTCAAGAAAGACGGAGAGAGAGGGCAGAGGGGTGGGGGCGGAGAATGAGGCAGATGGAAAAGAGATTTTGCATGACACTGTTTGACCTCGACCCTAAATCAATCACTCTTCTCCTCCACATTCCTTTTTCTCCAGCCTTGAAACTTCTTATCTCTACAAGCTAGACATTTTGCTGCAGGCCTCTGTGAACAATCTTTCTTTCTCTGTCTATCTATCTCTCAAGCACGGCCACTGTTAATACAGCTGTTGTTGTGCTCCTTCCCTTCCTTTCTTAATTCTTCCGTTCAGCTCCCATCCACCATCCCCCCATCTTTTTCGTTCTTTCTTTCTCTCTCTCTCTCTCTCTCTCTCTCTCTCTCACACACACACACACACACACACACACACACACACACACACACTCTTGTCCTCCCTCCTCCATCAGCCCGCCCTCTTGTCAGGCAGTTGCGCTGACGTCATGAACAGCCGGTATAAATCGGCCAGTAAGATTGCACGAGCTCGGCTCCCCTTCTCTCATATTCTGTCTCCCATCATCCACTCGCTCATTCTCCTCCTCGCCGTTCTTTTCGCTCAACGTTTCGCTTTCGCACGGCAGAAACCATGGTTGAGGCTTTCGTTGGCACGTGGAACCTGAAGGAGAGCAAGAATTTCGACGACTACATGAAGGCTCTCGGTGAGTATGTGAGGGTGAGAGCGCGAGCAGGTGCTTGAGCGCGCGTGCTGTCGCTATTGCGTTGCTAAAACGCGGTGAGGTCCTCGTGAATGATACTGCGCTGAGAGCATTAAAACGCCGTTCAGGGGTGCGAGAAGGCGAACGCACAGTTATTTTGTGCTGAAAACTAGAAGCAGTGTGTGTCTGCAGGTGCAAGCGCGTGTGGTGCAGGGAGGATCCCTCGGTCATGCTTGCAGCTGCTAGCTCGATTACATGCATCGCGCCGCTCTACCACGTGGGTGCAGAGATGGGCCGTTTCCAAATAGCTTGTAGATGCAGGGGAGTAATCAGCACCGTACTGGCTGATCTAACCCGTTCCTACTGACATGCATCTCCATCTCCTGTACGTCTCGGCTTTCATATTTGAAGTGTACCGTGAGAGTTCAGTTATGCTGTGCTGCGAGTGTTTCAAGTTGGCCTGTGTTGACTTGACTCTTGTTCTGGAGAAAGGTAACATTAGGCCCGACACGTCCAAGCTCGCAGCTCGCAGCACTGCCCCTCCTCTGCTGATCGCTCACACGATCGCATGCACACAATAGACGTTTGTTGAGTTGATCTAGTGTCTAAGGGCACAGCCTTGAGTGAAAGAGATCGGGAGGGACAGATGAGGGGGATGGGGTTCTCAGAGAGAAGGGTGGCAGTGATCGGGGAGTGGGTGATGGGTGGGGGGGTAATTTGGGGCGGCTCTGGGGCGTGGCCGGCGCTTGGGGGTTTCTTTTCAAACATGCTTGATACTAAATTTGAAATTCAGATTTGTGTCAGAGGTCAGGGTCACCTCCTGTCCACACTGACTCACTGTATTTACAGAACAAATCAATATTAGCAGATTACACTCTCCGCCTGTGCAAGCCTGGGATTGTTGATTTGACCGTTTTGACCGTTCCAGAGTTTAGTCATCTGCTGGGACACATTCACCCATGATTAACACGTGAATGTTAGTGGGGGGTGGCGTGAGTGAATGCAAGGCAGAGCGACTGTATTGGTCAGTCTAGCCTTAGGCTCTGTCTGTGTGGCTGTGTTAAGCACACTGAGAAAAGTATTTCCTGCAAGAGTGGAACATGTGATCCTTCCAGTACACAGAAGTGTTTTTGTGCTTAAACTGTGTGGGGGGGGGTTTGTTCAACTACTTTTGTTATTAGCTAAACACTGACATACTCTACTGGAGTGCAGAACGTCAGCTATGGACAAAGCCTTGTAACTGTTAACAGCATTATTTTGTGGTCTTAGTATTGCAGTGAACATGTGTGCGACCAGGTTTTTTTGTGCATTGTGTGTATTAGGTGTGGGCTTTGCGACACGTCAGGTTGGCAGCATGACCAAACCCACCACCATCATTTCCTTGGAAGGGGATGTCATCACACTAAAGACAGTCAGCACTTTCAAGACCACAGAGATAAAATTCAAACTGGGAGAAGAGTTTGACGAGACCACCGCAGATGACCGTAAAGTCAAGGTACATGCAAGCACTGCAGTGTGATGCATTTTCATTACATTACCGTAATGATGCATGGAAGTGCTAAATCCATGCTTTGCAACAGGCCTCCAGCATTTTTACCACTTTTAGCCATGGAGCTTGTGTGTGTGTGTGTGTGTGTGTGTGTGTTGTTTTGCTTATTGAGTGCCCCTTCCTGTGTTTCAGTCTTTGGTGACCATTGATGGAGGCAAGTTGGTGCATGTTCAGAAATGGGATGGCAAAGAGACAACACTGGTCCGAGAAGTCGACGGCAACAGTCTCACATTGGTGAGTACTACCAGCATGCATGTGTGGTTGGGAGTCTCTGACTATAGTCCTGAGTTTTTGTGTGTCAGCAGTTGGTGAACCTTGCTAATGGGATGCTGCCTGTATTAGTTGCTGACTCTAGGAGAGAACGCGTGCGCACTGGCACGTTTGTTTGCTGATTCGTCTTGCTTTTTTTTTTTTTTCCCCTTTGACAGACGCTAACGCTCGGTGAAGTTGTCTGTACACGATCCTACTTGAAAGCAGAGTGAAATGAAACCCGTCCTGCAACCCTGTCCTTGGTCCTGCATATGCCTTCTCTTTGGTCAAGTACATTTCCAACGGTTGTTAATAGTCCTTGTCCCTTTTCTTTGTTCTGTACCCAAAAAGGGAATAAAACTACCTTTTACACCCAAAAACAATGTGTTCTCATGGATTACTTGATCTTTTCTGATATGATATGCCATAAGGGTACAATTTGTGTCCAGTTTAAGATTTCTCACCTTAAACCACTGTACTGGAGCTGCTGCATCACTGTGCCAGAGCCGTCACAAGTCCATCACACAGACTATTTATACCAGTCAGTATTTCCATCACCAGCTCCAAGGCAAGGGAGGTGTGTTAGTGTGCTATGTCACTGCATATTTGTTTGGAACTGTTCTGTACATCTTCTAATTTAAGCATGTTCCTGTGACCCGTGTTCTACTTTGAGCTGATGAGTGTCTTGCCTGTGTTACCAGGTGAAGGGAGGTCATGTAGGACCACGCTGCTTGACCTTTCACCACTAAACCCAAACCTTTCTGAAGCCAACAACCTTTGTTTATTTTTCCTTTTCAGAAAAACATTTCTCAAGACTGATAAGTACATCTTTGCCTTGTGTTCCAAGACACAAATTCAGTCCTTTGCTCGTGCACACAAAAAAGCACAAAATAACTACATTTGAAAAAGCCAAAACCAAATTCCTTATATTGCATTCACTTGTGTTTTTTGTGTTTATGCTTCTTGTGCTTTTTCTTCTTTTCAGAATGTGTATGGGAGTGTCTTGCTCTTTTGGTGTCATCACTGCTGTCAGAAGAAGAATTCTCTCTTTTTCGCTCTTTCTTCTTCTCTTTCTTAGCTTTCTTTTCCTGTGAGTGGAGAGAGAAATAATATGAAACCACACAAAGAAACTGAACAGAACTGAACAGGTTAAACACTTTAGAATATTAGTCCATGGCAACTATATCAGAGAGAAAGATAAGTAACAAGGCATAGAGGAAAAGCTTGATAAATGAGAGTAGGGTTATGCAACTGGATGCCTGCTGGGTTTCTTCTTATACTATAAATCTAATAGTTGCCAAAAGGGTGGGTCTAAGGGGTGTGTTACAACCTTCTTTCGTTTCTGAGGCTCTGATTGGGTGCTCTGGCTGGCTGGTTCCTCCTCTTCTGGCACCAAACTGTACTGCAGGCCAGGCTGTGAGAAACAGTCCTTTGCAAAGTGACCTGAGAGCAAACACATGCATGATACACTTGGACCTTGTGTCTCTGGCATACTTTGATAGTCCCACACAGCTGTCACGACAATTGCTTAGCCTCAAGCCAAAACAGGACCAATGAGAAGATACAAAACCTAGCCCAGGCCTCGAGAGTGCTCATTTTAATATAATTCATCCATTTTGAGTGCTGTAGTCGTCGAGGTGTTCTAAACTAAGATTTTAAAGTGGGATCTGGAAAAACAGAAAACACTTGAAATCCCAACACAAAGTCTACAAATAAAAGAGCAAGTTAAAACTATTCATATGAATTGCTGTCAATGGATTTATGTTGATTTGGTAATGATAATGCAATAAATTCAGCAGCATATGCAACTTCTCTCACCACATTAAAAAATGTGACTAATTATTATGACTTTTCTAATTGAAGTGATAATACTAGATTTAGCCATGCTGTACAAAGCATGTGTATGTTACATTTCAGTTGCTTCAGTGCTTCTGTTTTGGTGACATTCTTAAGGGGTTTGTGGTTTACCCGATATGAATGTAAAAGTATAAACTAAGGTTTGCTGCAAGGCTTGTGGTTTGGCTTTGATGAAAGTAGCAAAATTAAAGATTTTATCTTTGGTTATCATGGTGTGGTTAGGTAACAACTGTGATTTGTTCATATTTAATTTTTCATATTCTTACCTGTGCACCCACACTTCTTACAGGTGGTGTTAAGCACAGCCTCGAGCGTGATTCTCTGACTTGTATTATCCTGGAAGCGCCTTCGCCTGCGTGCGTCCTGCCTGTATGTGCACAATCATACATACAGGGCTGTGAAAATGTATTTGCCCCCAGACTATTTTTTCTATTTTTGCTAATTTGTCAGATTTAGATATTTCAGATCATCCAACTAATTTTAATAAGATAAAAACAACACAAGTAAACACAAAATGCAGCTTTTTAATGATCATTAAATCTTTATCTTCAATAAATGCATTCAAAATTTACATCACTCATGTGAAAAAGTAATTGCCACCCTTGACAGTAACAACGGCAAACCTTTGCAGTTACTTGCACTGAATCACTCCAAAACTTTAATTTTATTTCTTTTGAGCCATTCAAAGATGCTTTGGATCATTGTTATGCTGCATAACTCAACTGCGCTTGAGCTTTAGGTCACAATCTGACGGGTGGACATTCAACCTCAGGATTTTCTGATAGAGAGCAGAATTTATGGTTCAATCCAATTATGACAAGTCATCCAGGTCCTGCAGAAGCAAAGCAGCTCCAGACCATCACACTACCACCACCATGTTTGACTGCTGGTATGATGCTCTTCTGGTGGAATGCAGTGGTAGCTTTACACCACATGTAACGAGACCCATGTCTCCCAAAAGGTTCCACCTTTGACTCATCAGTCCGCAGAATATTATTCCAAAAGTTTTGGGGGTCATCTAGATGTTTTTTGGCAAATGCAAGATGAACCTTTGTCTTCTTTTTAGTCAGCAGTGGTTTGCACCTTGCAACTCTTCCATGGATGCTGTTTTTGCCCAGGGTCTTTCTTATTGTGGAATTGTATATACTGATCCTAACTGAGGCAAATGAAGCCTCCCGTTGTTAAGATGTCCGTCTGGTTCAGCCACTCCTGGGAAGGTCCACACTGTTCCAAGTTTTCTCCATTTGTGGATAATGGCTCTCACTGTGGTTCGCTGGCGTCCCAGAGCCTTAGCAATGGCTCTGTAACCCTTTCCAGACTGGTACGTTTCAATGGCTTTGATTCACAACTGTATTTGAATCTCTTTAGAAAGTGGCATCATCTGCTGCTTTTTGAGACTTTTTAGTCTGTTTCACATTGCCAGACAGGTTCTATTTAAGTGATGTTTAGATTCAACTGGTCTGGCAGTAATCATGCCTGGGTGTGGTTAGTGAAACTGAACCCAATAGTCTTTGGATTTGGTTAACTGCTTGATTTAGTAGCAAAGGGGGTTATTACTTTCTCACTTAGGGTCAGGTAGGGCCAAACAGCATTTTTCTTCAATAAATAAAATCATCATTTAAAAACAGTATTTTGTCTTTACTTGGGTTATCTTTGTCTAATATTAAAAGTAGTTTAATGACCTAAAGCATTCAATTGTTACAAATATGCAATATGGATGAATTAGTACTCGAAAACACAAATGAGAAACACATTTTAACAAAAAATACACCTGTGTGTGTGAGAGAGAGAGAGAATGGGACACACAGATTATAATGTAAGACTACTTACTCTGCCATCACATTGTTCGGATCCAAGTCCCGCCCTGTCCCTTGATTCACGGCTTTCATGGAGAAAGAGAGTTTGACTTTATCATCATGAATCTGGCACAAAACACGAACAGAAAAAAACACTGTTTAAAATCTGCACATTAGATTATCAGTAAATGAATGAATATGTAGCAACTTAAAATACAGATGCAAATTATTTCTTTGATTATTAGTTGTATTTTATTTTCTGGGTTTGCACTCAGGTGTGTACCTCTCTGCCAATGACTTTAATCCAAACTTTCTCACCAACATCAACAATTTCAGCAGGATTATCTACTCGAGAGGCAGACATCTCACTCTTATGAACCAACCCTGCGAGAAGCAAAGAAGAAATTTACTGTAAAAAAATTTCATATTTACAAATATGTAATGGAATGACAATGGTCGTTAAAAAAAGGACAAAATAAAGAACTAAGCACAAGAACTAAACATAATGCAATGGACAAAACAATGCAGTACAATACACTAAATTACAGCACAACAAATACACAGTGCAACTAGAGCTCAAATGCCAACAATAAAGCCACACACTAGAAGTGCATGTGAGTAGTGCAAAATTATGTAGGTGTATAGATCTAAGCAGATTAACTGTGCAAATTACATAGTAAACCAGTGGTTCCCAATCTGGTCCTCAGGACACCCGAGACAGTCGACATTTTTGCTCCAACACGTAAAAATGACAGAACATATGGACGATCTCAGGGACTCTTAGGACCAGGTTGGGAACCACAGTTGTAAAACACCGTTTCCAAAGAAGTTGGGTGGCTGTGCAAAATGTAAATAAAATAAAATCAGAATGCAATGATGTGCAAATCATTCAAATCCTATACATGTAATTGAAAATAGTACAAAGACAACATAGCAAATGTGGAAACAGAGAAACTTTATTGTTTTTTTTGAAAAATATAATTTTGAATGGGTTGCCAGCAACACGTTTCAAAAAAGGTGGATTGGGGCAGGAGGTGGAGACTGGTAAAGATGTGCAATGATTAAAAAATCTGGTGGCAAATTGGCAACAGGTTAGTAATATGATTGAGTATAACAAGAGCATCCCAGAGGGGCTGAGTCTTTCAGAAGTAAAGATGAGGAGGAATTCACCACTCTGTGAAAGACTATGTGGGCAAATAGTGCAACAATTAAAAAACAACGTTTCTCAACATAAAATAGCATAGAACCTGGGGATTTCATAATCTATGGTACTACCATGCCAAGAAGAAGGTGTATAAAAACAGGATCCAGAAACGCCATCACCTTCTCTGGGCCCAAGCTAATTTAAGATGGACTAAGGCAAAGTGGAAAAGTGTCCAGGGGTCCGACAAATCAAGATTTTGCTCTTTTTGAAAATCATAGACACTACATCCTTCAAAATAAAGACTAGCCATCCTATCAGTGCACAGTTCAAAAGCCAGCATCCATGATAGTATAGGGGTTCATTAGTGCACATGGTATGGGTGACTTACACATCTGTGAAGGCATCATTAATGCTGAATGATATATACAGGTTCTGGCCACATATGCTGCCATCCAGATGATGTTTTTTTCAGGGCAGGCCTTGATTATTTCAGGAAGATAATGCCAAACCACATTCTAAAATGCTGGGTGCTAAACTGGCCTGACTGCTGTCCAGATCTGTCACCTATTGAAAACTTCTTGGGCATTATGAAACAAAGAATATGACACAAAAGACCCTAAACTGTTAAGCAGCAGAAATCCTATATCAAGCAAGAATGGGAAAACATTTCTGTTTTAGAACTACAGCAACTGGTGTCCTAAGTTCCCAAAAGGGGCTCCATCATTTTAGACAATGCAATTCCACTACTGCAATCAAATCAAATCAAATGCTGGGGAGCTTTATACCTCTCTAGCCAACACTCGGCAGCTCCAAGTATCTTATATTATTGGTAGTGCTTTTCTAATTAGATTATTTGAACTGTGTGCTCAACTGAAGGTCTGTGGGGCCACTCACTATACCGATGCAATACACATTAAAATCTGAAGAACACTCAGAACGGGCCAAATTAGTGAAAAGCCCGGTTCAAAACGGCACACTTGCTGGCCTGTAGTCCACAGTTATGAGTGTACAAGCCTTTACTGCAGCCTTCAGTGAGAATTGCAATGATGCAGACTCAGCAGTGGCCTGTTACCCAAAATTCCTTGAGATACAGGTGAGAACCAATCAATCGGGCCAACATGGCAGAGATGAAGATATTCAGATGTGAGAAAAACTGCATTTGTTTATTGATTTAATTTGCCATTGAGCTGCATTATGCTTAAAATCTAAATTAGTTATAATACACTGGAGCCTGCACGACACACAAGTCAGTCTCAAGCATCCTTGAGGTATCTTGTCCTAAAAGTCTACACATTACTCACATTACCAAAGTGAGGAATTTGGACTGCCAGGCTTAGGGCACCATTTGGGACCAGGCTAATGACGGAGTAAGCTCACCTTGCTTCCTGTATCCTGGAATCTTGACAAAGGCTCCATATTCTGTTACAGAAGCCACCTGCAAAAGAGAGGAAGATGGAAAGAGAAACAGACATAGATAGATAGATAGATAGATAGATAGAGAGAGAGAGAGAGCGAGAGAGAGCGTAAGAGAACGAAAAGAAAAATAGAACAACAGTGCAGTGAAACAGCATCTCTCTGTTCACTTGATGATGGGTCTGACCTCTCCTTGTAGGATGCTGTACAGCTCTGGCAGTCCATCCAGCCCAGCTGGCTCTCTATGGTCATCAGCCATTGTCTCTCTAACACAAATAAAGCCAAAGTTTATTTTTAACTTAATTGCCATTTTGTTCTGACCACTGAATAATATAGCACATTGTGTTACATTAAATTCAATTACACAAACACTACACACAAAAAAAATCTACTCTACATGCAATAATTAGCTTATACAACCACTGAACACAGGACAGTAGAGACTGGACACTTTACAATAAGATTGGGGAAAGAAACAGACCACCTGTCAGTCCGCAGCAGCAACGACTACTGCGCACGTATTATCAGTACTTTGATCATTAGTATTAGTTCGTAGCAGCATGGCCACAAGCATTGGCTTGCTGGACAATATGCAGGGCACAGTATTTGTGCACATAAAGTGAGTAAAGTAGCCTATGTTTCGCATGTAAATGGCTGGGTACAGCAGGTATCGTGTTGCAAATTAAAGTGAGGAATAAGGCTGAGACAGCAGTGCAGTCTGAATGAATGTCCATCGGGCAGACATTGGCAAATCGGTTCAGCAGTCTGAACACCATCGTCGTTCTTCACTGAACCCCTCTCTTAGTTTAAAAAGTGCTACAACAGTCTGTTCATAAAAACACTTTAGCAGCCGAAGGAAAACGTATGTAAGGAGATTATTCAGCAAAACTTACTGCTCCCTTTAAGTCCTGCTGGGTGGAGGGTCCTTTTAGGGGGTCTTCTTCAGCTCAGCTATTCACGGCGGCCGGTAAAGTTTCACTTTAGAGACAGTCACCTCGCAGTATCACGTCTTCGGGAATTTTCGCTAGAAGAACACTGCATATTCCAACAGACAGCCTTCTGGTTCGCACTTACGTAGTTAGCTAAACACTAAAATGAAAGAATGAAGGGGGATCTGAATAAAGCCATTCAAAGAGCGCGTTGTTGTTCTACTCTACATACTGCTTCCTGTTCAAATGTGCCTTCACACAGTCCACAACCAATAAGAAACGACCAGCATCAACGGACCAATCAAAGCCTCGATTTTACCGGAAGTGTTTCCAGTTCACCTCCAGCGCGAGGCTAATGGTGGACAGTGAACAGATTCATTCATAAGAATTCGCACCGAAACAGAAATAGCCGCTAATCCTGACTTATCTCGTTCTCTCCTTATACCGAAGACCATCTTCAAACAATGATCGAGCCAAAGAAGCGGGGAGCGGACATGGCGCTGGTTCCCGCCGCTGTGAAGAGACCCAGAAACGAGCTGGTGGCCGCAGCGCAGAGCCAGCAGATCGCGACCATGGTAAAGACAGCGACACGCCGAGATCAGCTCAGCTCCGTATTCGACAGCTTCTTATTCAGAGTTTCCCGTTCTACCTTAAGTGCTGCACAATTTAAGGTGGTACGGGAAAATTCGAACAAGAGGCCGCCAAATAGGAAGTCAGATTCAGCCTCGTACTGAAAATAAACATTTAACGATAGAGTAAACAACGACTCACAGGGCGGCTCACAGTGGAATACTACTGAAGTGCGAAAATGTATAGTTAGCAAGCTGCTAAGGTAACCAACACCGTTTATATCCAATGCTGAAGCTGTAAATAGCTTGTGTATATAAATAGATAGATAGTATAGTAGAGTAGAATAGAGTATAGTATATGAGTATTAAAAAAAGTGTTTGCCTCCTTTCAAAATGAATTCAAATCTGTAACGCAGTACAATAAAAAGAGTGCTAAAAAGTAAAGTACACACACACACACACACACACACACACACACACACATTTTCTAAGCCGCTTATCCTTCTGGGTCGCGGGTGATTAAAAAGTAAAAAGAAGAAATATATATTTTCCATTTTTTAGCATAAACACAGGTTCTGTTGCACAACAGATATTTATTTAGCTTACTGGTTAAAGAAAACACTTATTTTTGATATTTTCCTCTGAGGATCGATTCTCAAAAGCAAAAAAAAGAAAGAAACACCAGCATTGTAAGTGCTGATACTCCAGTATTGAACCACCCATTCCTACTATAACCATACAAACAAAGATGACTCTACTGACACTGTTGCATACAGGCTTGTATAGTTGAGCAATGTTCAGCAGTTAAATAAAAGTACTTAGTGAGCTTCAGTCAGAATTTTTATTTATTGATTCATTCATAGTTTGCCTTTCAGATGTTTCTGTATATGTCACAAATCAATGTTCAAGGCATACACTTACTTTTAAACATCCCATAGTAAAAAGCCTCTTATTGAATGACTAATGAGGATTTTATCTGCTCTCTGATTTCTAAAATACAGTATGTATAATTAAATATGTTTGTGTCTTTGGTTTGTCAGGGGCCTCCTCGCAGCTCCAGTTTGCAGGCTCCTATAATGTTGCTGTCTGGGCATGAGGGAGAAGTCTACTGCTGCAAGTTTCATCCCAATGGAGCCACTCTAGCTTCTGCAGGATATGACCGCCTCATCTGTAAGATTATGCTATTGTGCATATTGGGGGAGAGTGCTCTGTGTTGCTTTATTGTTGTGTTACTTTACTATTTTATGTCCTGTGATGATGTAAGCTAGCGATGATGATGATTAGCTGATTAAATTTGCTGAGAGCCACACAAAGGCATAAAAACAAATATAATCTTACCAAAATGGATTTGTCTGCTCTCATTCTGCTGTGGGCTAGACTCAGACAGTAGAGCAATCAAAGACCCAATTGTGCTGTTTTTTTGTGAGGTAGTAGAGGACGCTTGTGCTCTTAAACATGCACATTCTACATAGATAAGCGTTGGTGTATTGGGCATGCTCACTAGTTGTTGCTTCACATGTGTCAGGTATTTGATGAAGAGTTGAGTAATATTTGGAGTGTTGTTTGTGTGTTGTACAGTGCTATGGAGTGTGTATGGAGAATGTGAGAACTTTGCTACTTTGAAAGGCCACAGTGGAGCTGTGATGGAGCTTCACTACAATACAGATGGCAGGTATGTAAGTGTGTAGAAGCATAATAAAGTGATGACCTCAGATCAGATTCATACTTTGTTGACTGTGTTAATGGTCTCAAAAATCAGAGTCTGATATGTTTATATTCCAAGTTGTCTTTTGAATACCTTTTCAGATGTGTATGTGTCTGTTTTTTTTTGTTTTTTTTTTATTCCAGCCTGCTCTTCTCAGCCAGTACGGATAAGACTGTGTGTGTGTGGGACAGTGAGACAGGAGAGCGTGTGAAGCGTTTGAAAGGCCACACATCCTTTGTGAACTCCTGCTTTCCTGCCCGTCGTGGTCCACAGCTTGCCTGCACTGGCAGTGACGACGGAACAGTGAAGGTAACAAGCAAAACATGTCTCAGTATCATGTGTTGCTTAACCCAGTCATCAGAATGAGTATTTATAATAAGCGGTCTGTCTCCTTGTTGTAGTGCATGTGGTTGAATCCTTTAAGGACATAGGGGAATAGCTATCAATTAACACACGTACCCTAAGCCCACTTTTAAATATATATATAATGTAAAGAAATATATTCTTTTTCTGTGACTGTGAGTTTTAAGCCAGTATAATTCTTTTAGTTTAAGATATTTGCGTGAATGTTGAGAGACTATCCTGAACACATGTCAGAGTCACCATGAAATGCTTTAAAAGGCATTGAAGTGTTGTCCTGGAAAGAAACTTGTTAATAATATTACAAAAATACAGAGATTTATGAGAAAATTAGTTGTTGGTATGACAAAGTTGCTAAAGATTTAGAGATGTTCCCATTTCAATTTCCTTTTCCTCTTAGATTGCAGATTAAGTCAGGAATCACGTGACCAATAGCAGTCTGGCTGATTGGACTGTAACTTAAAAGTAAAAACTATCAAGCTTGTTTAAAATGTGACATTTCAACTCACCTTACTTCAACTTATTCATATTTTCACAAACCATATGGCTAAACGTTACAGTCATAGTAGTTCTAACTCAGGGAGAAAAGATTCATTATTTAATAATGGAAGCAGTTTTGCATTATTTGGTTTCTAATATAGAAACCAAATAACAATCAATTACATTTTTTTTTTTTCTTGATTATTTTTGTATGGGTTCATTTGTCAGCAGATTTTGAGTGGAAACCTAATGTCTATTAGAAAAACAAGGCTTTTATTCTCTTTTCTTGGAAAGAGTGATAAAGAATTACAGAGATTATCATATTATGTGCACAATATAAATCCAACTTAATGGTTTAAATGGAGATGATAAGAGATAGAATCGAAATCTTTCTTATATGGGGTGAAATAAGAGAAGGGCATATTGTTCAATAGCTTTATGGTTTTTACAGTGCCTGATAAGGAGAAAATCAATGGTACTAAAAGCAGTACTGAGGAAAGATGTCTAATCCGGGTGCTCTAGGAAATGGAATAGGAAACAAAATTAGAACTTAATTTTTGTTATTATTGTTATTATTAAAAGTAATTATAAATACTAATACATTACATACCATGTTTTAATAACTACCCGTGTTTGTTTTAAGCTTTGGGACATAAGGAAAAAGGCATCAGTTCACACATTCCAGAACACGTACCAGGTACTGAGTGTGACCTTCAATGACACCAGTGACCAGATCATTTCAGGAGGCATTGACAATGATATTAAGGTACTGTGTGTGCACTTAACATCAGTGTATTTCAGAAATATTTATTTTCTGCCTTGTTTATTGGATGACAGTGTATTTCATTTTATTTTTTTTGTGTGTGTGTGTTTGCTGCAGGTGTGGGACCTGAGGCAGAATAAGCTGATTTACAGCATGCAGGGCCATGGAGACTCAGTGACCGGACTCAGTCTTAGCTCAGAGGGATCCTACCTACTGTCCAACTCCATGGACAACAGTGGTGAGTTGCTGACAGAGAGAGAGTGAGAGATAGTGTGAATGCAATGAAGAGTGTGTTGGTGTTTACTCCTCTGTATATTGAGGGTGCTATCTGTTCATCTGTTAATGATGTGTTGTCTGTGATGCAGTGCGTGTTTGGGATATCCGTCCTTTTGCCCCAAAGGAGAGATGTGTGAAGATCTTCCAGGGAAATGTCCACAACTTTGAGAAGGTAATCCCTGCTCTCTCAGGAAGTGTGAAGGGGGTCACAGCATTTGATAGGTTCACTGCACTTTGCGGTTTGAGATTTTGCTTTATTAGTAAGCGTAATTTTTTAGGACACTTAATCTTTGGTCTTTCACCATTCAGTATTAATTTTAAATATTATGGATGCAATAAAAGATTTGCTGTATTTTTTTTGTAGAAAGATGAGATTGATAACCATTTCAGAGTTTAAATAATTTAATTAATATGAGCCTTATATTGTACTTCGTTGAATGAGTAGTTTGGGATAAAATCCTCCTTATAACTTCGATGTGAATGGGCAGGCCTAAATTGTTGTCAGAAGAATAGGTGGATATATAGAAATACGTGGGTTTTGTGACATCAAAAAAATAATGATTTCAAAACAGGCTTTTGTGTATCTTAGTTTACAGTAGCGTGAACAGTACATTTTGAAACTTTAGCAGTGTTTATATACTACATTGAACTCCTTATAGTTCAGAAAGACAAGAACAACTCAGTTTTCCATGATATGGGCCCTTTATGTAATGCAGAGCAACAAATTACTGGTAAATATTAAAGTACTGTACCATAATAATACAACACGATTTAATATTAATATTCAATATGCTTTATTATTTTACTTAGTTTAATAAGCAGTCAGCTATGTAGTGTGTTTGTGTCTAGAGCATAGACATTTGGGGTGGAAAAAAAAACTATGCAGTTAGTCAGAAATCTGACACAGAGGAATGTGTGACCTGAACTTATACATTTTTGATGTCTGTGTTGCCTACTAATTTATAATATTGTTTTGTATAATTCTTCGTGTTCTGCGTGTCTAATAACCTTTTGTATCTTCTTATCTGTTTAATATAATCTGTAATGACTGCTTGCTGTCCAGTGTGCTATTGTGTTTTTGGGTGAAACTGATTCACACACTGAGCATTTATGACTTTCTGTTGTCCTTCTGTCCCAAGAATCTTCTGCGTTGCTCATGGTCACCAGATGGGAGTAAGATAGCGGCAGGCTCCGCTGACAGGTAAGTGCCTATATGCTCATATGGGTGAGTATACTGTATATTATTTTTATATATATATATATATATATATATATATATACACACTGTGTAATTACTCTGTATGTTTGTTTTTAGGTTTGTTTATGTCTGGGACACGACCTCTCGTAGAATTCTGTATAAGCTCCCTGGTCATGCAGGATCAGTCAATGAGGTGGCCTTCCATCCTGAGGAGCCTGTTGGTAATTATTTTTCTTTGTTTTTCTTTCATCCTCTTATCCAGATTTTGGAGAGAATTTGGAGAGACTGTTTGTAAATCTGTCGTACTCCTTGTAATAGCAAGATTTTTTTTTCTTTCACAGTTCTCTCTGGATCCAGTGACAAGCGCCTGTACATGGGGGAGATCCAGTAACGGGTGTGTGTGTGGGTGTGTGTGTGTGTGTGTGTGTGTGTGTCTGTGTGTGAGTGAATGAGAGAGTGAGCTGTTTAAATGATTTGGCGAAATGTCATTTTGAAACTGTGCATAACCATGGAGAAGATGTGGGAACGTTTTTTATGCTTTTAATAAACTCATTTTTTTGAGAAATGTTACACTACACAGTGTGATTCTCTTATAATCTGAAGTGGATCAAGTAGCTTATGTAAAATAATGACATGTTAAAAGAAAAGTACCTTTCCAAAAAACAACTTGAGTAAATGTCCAAAAGTAGCAGATCAAAAGTAATCTTAAATACTGAGTAACTTATGTAATTTCAGTGATACTTTTTCGGTACATCCAGCATCTACCAGCATAACAACTGAAGGATGCACTCCTGGTCTAACATAAAACGTTAAAGCTCCAAAAATTGATGTGCGACTAATCTTATAGTAGTACGGATGCTGTCACCAATGTAGTGTTATAAAATTAACCACAGAAAAGGAATCAGTAGTTCAATATTAACTAAGATGTAACAGTAAAAAAATGTATTCCTTTTCTCACAAACATACTTGAAAAGTGAAATAATACTAAATGAAAAATTCAGGAAAGCACAAATCCATGGATTAGTTACTACCTCCCACTGCTTATGATACAGGGTTAAATGTATATTCTGAAATATGAATAAGAATAATGAACAAGAATACAGATAATATGTCATCTTATAAAGGGCAGAGTACAGTAACCAAAGGTTTTGTGAGCTTGTGAAACTTTTCTCTTTCCTCACTAAACTGAGTATTGATTTGCAGTGCAGTGGGGAATAGCCACTAGATGTCGCAGGGAGCAAGACTGATTAGGATTTTTATTTTATTTTTGTACAAATATACATTTTTTCCAAAAACATTTTTGATTCATAATAAAGTACATTATAAGAATATTAATAATTATTAATAATGATGTAATAGCTGTTTAAATAGCATTATTCGTATTCCTCCTTTACGCTCATTTTGCTTTATTGAAGATGAGACCCTTCCTCATCTGTTTTATTTCTGTTCATATTAAAGGTTTCCTGAATGGTATCTGTAGTTTTATTTTCTTCTTTCACCTAATTTACATATCTGAATAAATGGTTCTATTTCATTTTTGCTATAAGGATTTAGATAATATGAAATATCTTATATTCATATGCTGGGCAGGTTTAATTTTCACAAGGCAAGACTTTTGAAATTTAAACCTAACTAAATTATTTCTAATAGATTTAGAAACACTGTACTCCTTTCTGAAAAAATCTCCTCCAACAAAAATGCCATAAAAACATCCCAGATCTGTGAATTATTTTTGGACAAATTGTAAAAATATTTATTTATTCAATTATTTATTTATCTCTTCCCCCTGTTGATACTGGTGTTACTTTCTATTTATCTTGTACACATTCTTCCCTTTCTTGTAAATGAAAAGTTTCCTTTCCTGAACGTGCTATATCTGGCTGACATTTAAGTAGTAAGGTTCCTTTTGGTGTCATTGTAGATGGAGAAAACATAATAGTGACAAATAGTCAGAACAAGCAATGTCAGATGGGTAAGACATTCTTTTAACACTAAGCCTCACTCAGGTAGAATGGGTCCATTATAGGGAAATTCCTTCGATTTTTTTCAAAATTTCTGTATAATTAATTAAGATGTAAACAGAGTGTTTTGATGTGAAATGTTTAATTGTAGAGACACTGAATTAGATTTTCTTTACAGTGGTGGTGATAGGAACCAGAAGTCACAATGTCCACAACACAAATAGGACCATTTTATATATCATCTAAAATCCAACTAAAATAGTGGTACATCTGGGGGAAAAAACATTTTATTTGGGTAATATGTTACTTTACAACACCCTGTATGTACCTCTCCACCATTTTTTATTAATATGTTTTAGGCCAAAATCTTGTCTTAAAACAAAGTCCCAGGCATCAGCCAACTCCTCAGTCGTCTGGTTCCTCTCACCACCACTGCGAACAAGTCTGACTGTAAATTTCTTCAGAACAGTCCATTTTACATCGACTCACTCTGAATTCCTTTGTTTGCAAGAATTTTGAAAAATAAGTGGACTTTCCCTTTAACTTTATTGACGCAAACTGAAGATATCGTCTCTGCTGCTGTGAGATAATCGGTAAATATCGTGATTAATTTAGTTAGTATCTCTGCACCAGAAGCAGCTGCTGCTCCACTGACCCCTCAGCTCAGTCCGGTGTGACCGCCGCGCCGCTCAGGTCTGAATCACAGTCCCCTCAGAGGGTCTGACCGCAGCGCCGCGTCCGCTCAGCTCATATATCAGCTCTCATAGCTTCATTCTTCACCTTCACCAGCGCTTCTGCCGGTCGGCTCGAGTCTCGCCGCTGCGCCTCGTGCGTGTCTCGCCCTCCTTTGTGTAGCGGCGTGAAGGAGGCGGGCGGGCGCGCGCGAGGGGCCGGTTTCCACCCACAATCCCTTTCTCGCGCCCTCCTGTCGAGTGTTGACAAAGAGCCTGAGCGGGACTGTGGAAGAAGAAGAAGGAGGAGGAGGAGGAGGAGGAGGCGCGCGATGCTCCAGCTGCACTGAAATCCGTCTCTCGCATCGCCGGAGGAAACCGACACCGGACAGACAGCACGCGCGGCGGACTCGGTGAGTCACAAAGGCGCTTTGTGTCCCGCGCAGATTGCATTTGCGTTATTTTTTGCCCCTCGCGCCATTTCACCCCTCCTCCTCCTTCTTCTCCTCCTCCTCCTCGCGCTCCGTGTGATGCCTATCATATGATGCTGATTTCTGCGAGTTAAATGTGTCAGCTCTCTCTCTCTCTTTCTCTCTCTCTCTCTCTGTCCTTTGTGCTCTCTCGTAATGAAGGCGTGGCAGAAGCGCTGCGGTTCGGTTCGGCGTGAGCGCGCGGGTGGCCGGAGCGCCGGACACGGGCGCTATTATGGTCAGCGGTGTTGCTGAGAGACGCCAGGGCACGGAAAGCGTGGGTGCGGCCCGGCGGGCTCCCTGACGTGCTGACTGACCGCTTAAAGGCGCTGGAACAGGAGCCGCGCTCGCGCGCGTTGTCCACGCTGGAGCTCACCGGGGATCCCGCGTTTCCGCGACGCCTCGCGGGGCCCAAGCCGTGCCTCAAGCGCGAGAGCATGGGGCGGTGCGACGGGAGGTGCACGCTGGTGGTCATCTGCTCTCTGCAGCTGGTAAGAGGAATGTGTAATGGTGGCCTAAGTGGAAGCAGCCGGCCCCCACAGTATGTGTCTGTATAGGAGAGGAGAGGCAGGAGAGAGTGAGTGAATGAGTGAATGTCTCTGTAGGTGAGCCTAGAACAGTTATTCTCAAACCAGTCCTCAGGAACCCCCAGACGGCCCGCGTCAAAACACATAGGAACCTTCAGACAGCCCACATGAAAACAGATTGGGACCCCAGTCGGCCTTCATCAAAACACATAGGGATACAGCAGATATATGAACTGTCTGGGGGGTCCCTGAGGACTGGTTTAAGAACCACTGGCCTAGAAAGCGTAAATGTGATTGTTTAAGTAAATGTGTGTGAGGGCTCTAGGCTGCGAGGTGAGTGTAGAAGAAGGGGAGTAGGCCTTACAAGTCTTAAGGTAGGTGGCTGCCCTAGTTAATGTTTCTGCAGTGTCTAATTGAATTGTTGTGGTACACAACTCTGGAAACTTAATGCCCCAGATCTGTGTGTGTGATTTGTGAGTCTAAGACTCTGCTGGGAGGCGAAGGAGTGTGTGTGTGCACGCATGAGGGATCTCCTGAGGTAGGGGCTCTTTTCTCATAGGGCTGTGGGCTGGGGCTCCAGGCAGTTTCCATGGAAACAGCTGCAGCGGAGGGCTGTGGGATTGCATGTGTGTGTGTGTGTGTGTGTGTGTGTGGTGTGTGTTGTGTGTGTGTGTGTGTGTGTGTATGAGAGAGAGAGAAGGGAATCTTGCATTTATTTGCCCCCGGCCTAAATAGAGTAATGTGTTTTATTGGCCCTCTTTTATTGGCTCATTTCGGTTGTGCGATCCACAAATACTTGATTGGTTACGGTGAGTATAACTGGACAAGTATGACAGACACCCAATTTGCACTGAACGGTAATCTTATTAGTTTCTTTTTCCTATCACACGTCAGTCATTTAGAAGCTTACGGTCGATTTGAGCCTAGCTGCAGACAGTTTGACACTTGAGCCGAGTCTGATGCCAGTCAGTGTTGCCTTGATTAAGCGAGGAATGCACTCACAGCTGACAGGGTGGTATATTTTTCTACTCTTTCTGTTGTAGCCTTGCTCTCTTTTTCTTTTTGCCCTGCTGGTTCACAGTGCATGTGCCAGGCAGCCTGTCTGTTTCTTGGATGCGTGTGGCTTGTTTGAGCTTCAGCTGTTAATGGGAGCCAGCAACAGCAGACGTCCTGTGCTTGGCCAGGGCTGCCAACAGAACGTGGAGTCTGCTTATGTAGGCCAGGCCAGCATTGCAACAGTATGCCATAAAGGCTGCCTTAAAAAAAAGCCAGTATCCAGTTCACCATGAAGCCTGGAAGAACATACTGTTAGTTCATCTGTGAGAAAAATGTCAATTTTAAGCTTAAATATTTACAAGGGAGGTTATTTACATCCTCACTGGCTCATGTACTACTGTTTTTAGCACTGTTCAAATTTTTGATGGATATGTGCACCTAGAACAAGTCTATTTAATGTGTCATTAAACTACTAGAAACAACCGCCAGTGTATTCAGTAGGACTTCACAGGTGCTTAGAGTCTACAGTGCAAATGTATAAATACGTTTAATGTATTGTGATTTATAATTGACAATTTATTAGTGTACTTTACCTTTGTATATGCATGTCTTTGTAGCTGGCTGCGCTGCAGAGGCAGGTGTTTGATTTCCTGGGCTATCAGTGGGCTCCCATCTTGGCCAACTTCCTTCACATCATGGCAGTTATTTTGGGAGTCTTCGGGACGGTGCAGGTCCGCTCTCGATATCTTATACTGGTAAGTTCACACAGCTCCCTCGTGCAGGCAGATGTACATTTGGACATGAGGCAGAACAGACAGAATTGGTGCCAGACAAAAAAAATATCAGAGAGTAGAGCATGTTTGATTTGAAGTCATTTACACCCTCTTCTAAGCCAGTATTCTGAGTTGCTTCTCTACTGCAATGCTGCATATGGTGTCTAAATCTCTGTGGTTTGTAATAGTTAGTCTGCATTATCCTTGTGTGCGTTCTCAGTACGCAGTATGGCTGGTGGTCTGGGTTGGTTGGAACTCCTTCATCATCTGTTTCTACCTGGAGGTGGGCCACCTGTCTCAAGTAAGTGGAAGCAGAAGGTTTGGCTCAGTCTGTATTAACACCAGATTTGAGTAAGCACAGCATTTGAGTATGTTCACTTTGCTTGCAACAGAATTTGAAATCAGAAACACTCAAAAAGTAATGATGGGATAAGAACGTTTGAACATCCATTTTGTGTCATCTTCTGAAATATTAATGCATAATGTTGCTATTATTAAATTTTCAGTTCTACCCCAAGTGTCTCAGTGCTGAAAATGGTTTTTCATGCACCTCTGTATTAGGGATGCACAGTGATATCAGAATCGTATTGATATCAGCAAAACATTTTTAAAATAATTGAATTTACAAGAGATTATTACATTTGACCAATAGTTTAAACTCAATAGCAGATAGATTTTAATTAAATCGTGGCTAGCCTGGTTAAACAAATAATAAAGAAATAACAAATTAAAATGGGGTGTAATGTTGGCCCACAAGTTAATTTGATTCTCAGTACTGGGTTTGCAATTTGATATTCTCTTGATAATGTAAAACAAAATTCAAGTGAAGAAAAGTGATTGTATCTATCTTGTCACACAGCCTACTAAAGAATGTGTGTTCTTGATTAGTGCTCAGACAATTCAGTTACGTTTGATGTCATAATTAATATGCTCATTCTCCACGATACATTGTCACATCTGAACAATGCTCATTGTCACATTTGTGTGTTGTGGAACAATATTGTGGAACAGCCAAAGATTCCCACATCGGAGCACCCGACTCTATATATAATCCAAATGTTTGCATGTCTAGCAGTGGTCTCATTAATGCTCATAGTGCTCATTATGAGGCCTACCTACACATATTTTGAAAAGCTGGATTTTTAGGTGGCACTTTCTGACTTATTAGGAATGAATAACACATGCAATGTCATTCATGACCACTGGAAAATAACCAGAAATGATCTACTACAATATCTAACCTTTTCAAAAATGTGACAGTATGTCTTCTATCCAAGCTCTCTCCAAGCAGAATTCGCTTTTCAAAAACACTTAGACCAATAGTCCTAACGGCTGATTACATTTCAAACATTTCTATCAATGGTACCAAATATATGCATATTAAATGATTAAATCTAATTGACTCCACTGTTTTTGTAGCATATTTGTGCTGTCCTAAGAGTTTTAACCCAGGTACTTATTTGTGTTGGATTTATGTTTTTTTTTATGTGTAGAACAGAGATTTCCTGATGACATTTAACACCTCTTTACATCGCTCCTGGTGGATGGAGAATGGGCCTGGTTGCTTAGTTACAACAGTGCCTGACTCGCCATTGGCTCCACAGGACCACCATGTGATCACAGTCAGTGGCTGCCTGCTGGACTACCAGTACATAGAGGTGGTCAGCTCCGCCCTGCAAGTGTTCCTCGCAGTGAGTGTTTCGCCTTGCTTTTGCTGTTCAAAAACACCTCTAACACAATCATTAAAGAAATAGTTCAGGAAAACACATAATTTTCCCAATTTTCCCTGAGTTTTGCACTGTGAGGCTAAAATAATAAAATCTTTAGAAGTCTATGTCAAAAAATTTTGGGTGACAGACTTTTATTACTTGTTAGCTACATTAGCATTGCAGATCCAGTGCAAAACTAAAGAAGCAAACTTTGGAAAACAAACGTGTCTTGAATAATCTATTAAATTTGAGATGAAGGAAGGACTGTATGAACATTTGTTTAGTGGTCAATCAAACTGTTTTTCTCTATACCCAAACTCTAAGTCAAAGTACATTTTTGACTTCAGGCAGCATTTTCTGCTAAACTGAATAAATTTCACTCATTTAGTTGAGTGTCTTATTTTTCTTCTATGGTTCTTTCTTTCTCCTCAGCTTTTTGGCTTCGTATATGCCTGCTATGTTAGTAAAGTCTTCCTGGATGATGAGGACAGCTGTAAGTGCCATGTTTTCAACACTTTTTGCCTTGCTTTATCTTCATATCATATCTTCTCCAATCGTTTTTTATAAAAAGCTTTATGGCAGCACATAAAGCATTCAAGATACTTCAGTTCTGACTTTTCCTATCTGTCTCACAGTTGATTTTATCGGTGGATTCGACTCCTATGGTTACCAGCCTCCACAAAAGAGTTCCCACCTACAGCTGCAGCCTCTTTACACGTAAGTGCCCTCTTCATAATGTTCATAATGACAAATATACAAACCTAACCCTGTAGAATTAATTATATTAAAAGTGATTTCAGTGTGTTGCAAGCTTATCTTTATTTAAAGGGGGATGGGTTAAAAAAGGAGATGAGCAGGAAGTTTTTAAAATTTGCTTTCTATCAGTGATCAGCAGAAGACTTTTGTTTTCTTCTGCTACAGATTAATAAAGGATTCTGATAACAATAATTAAAATAAATGTTGGAAATTTAAAAATGAACTGGAAAATGGTTGACAGCAGAAGGTTATACAGGCCCACTGTGGTAAACCCCAGACCTTTAAAGCAGGGTTTCTCAACGTGTGGTCCATGGACCACCAGTGGGCCGTGCAGCACCCTGTAGTGGTCTGCAGGCCTGAACTCTGGGGAGGCAGTAGTTCGTGGAGGGCCTCGTAGAGGTAATGTAACTTTAAATCATAAAAACATAAGTGGGTAAAAAAGATAAACTTAAGAATCGAAGAGCAAAAGTTCTTAAATTATAACCAATATATGTATAAATAAAAACATTGCATGTCATCAACTTGAGACAACACAGCTGCGGGCGCATGATGCAGACAGTTAGCGAGGCAGAGATGGAGAAGTTTCTCAGGGCGCTTTCACACCCACCTTGTTTGGTGAGGACATATCAGACTTTTTCTTTAGTTTGCTCCGTTTTGACATCTGTGAAACCTCCACCCATATTCGGGTCTGTAACAGACAGCTGAACTGTGGTCCACTTCCAAACAAACCCTGGTTGCTGGTGGGAAGCATTCTATAATGAAATGAAGGAATTCATCAACAGAGCTGCCTTTCCTCTTCCAGGAGCATGTCGGCATTGTACCATCAGTGTAATCTGCTTGTTCTAACGTCTCACTCTTTACAGACCCTCATTGGCTTTCTTTTCTGCACCACGACCTGCTGTAAAATAATAGTGAAGATATGCGTTTGATTTTGGCTCATGGATCAGAACGTATTTTTGGCCAGGCAAAGTATGGTTTATTATTAGTATTGTTGAAGCCCGGTGAATGGTGTGAATTTTATTTCAAATGAATCACAAATACCATTAAAACTAAAGAGAAATCTTGACACTAAAGGCAGTGAAGTTTTTTTAGTGAAAAATCAATATACTGCAGCTCCAAATCACAGTGCACTTCCACCTTGTACACTTCCATTCTTTTTGCTTTTTTCCTCTTTTTTACCATCTCTGCAAATATATTTTTTAACATAACTGCAAATTTTGGGACTTGTGATTGAGCCAAAACGGACAATCTGATCTTGTTCAGGCCCTGATTCTCAGGTTTTCAGTTTTAACACTTAATAAAAGAAAAAGAAAATTACATTTAAAAAGTTGATTTTAGTTTTCCTGTGGGCCGCTATTCTTTGGATTTATAAACAGGTGGGCCTTGGGATAGAAAAGGTTGAGAACCCCTGCTTTAAAGTCAGTAATGCTTTGAAACTACATGATTTGAAAAGTTCTAGTGAGAATTACATGGCAATGATGTTTTTAAGGTTTATAAGAAATATCGCTTTGTTTAAGGTCGCGTAGCAGCTAACTATCCAGTTGACTGTCGCTTTTAATAAACATCATTATGTCATTATAAACATAACATACATTCAAATATATAAATGAATATAAATGTACATGAAGGAATGTAATTATGTACATACATTATACATTAGAAACTTATAAACATTGGTCACTAAATGCTTATTGTCATGCTCTCAGCAAAGCTTGGAACCCTGATGCACTTTTAGTAGTTTGCTTCTACAGAAGTATATACTTGTGAGATATTTCTGTGGTACGTGAGCACCACCAGGTAGACTGCAGATGTTACCATCACAAATTCAGCCAGATGTTATGGGTTTGCAGACTTTACTCTGTAGGGTTTCTTGCTTATTAGCACCACCTGCTGGGCAGAACCTCAGATAGGCAACTTTAATGTATTGTCTGCAAACTAACCTTTCTATGCTGGTCTCAATGTCACTTTTTTCATTCACCAATCTCTTGGTTTAGGGCTGGATAAGAGCACAGATCCACTTCCACGTGCATTTGAGTGGAGCAGCTGCTGAACTCTTGAGCGATGCCGTCCTGTGCATTGTGGGATATATAGTTCTACAAAATTCAGTCTCTGTGTTTCTGAAACTGTCTCCCTCTGCTGGCAGAAAAATGAACTGCAGTACAGACACTGTGTTCAGTGAGTGACCGTGAGAGAGGCTGTGGGCTAAAGCTTGTACTGCCACTGTTAAGTGCATGTTTCAGTATACTTTGAAGTGCACAAACATATTGCCCAAAGTGGGTATATTCAGAAAACTACAGAGCCAAGATCTCTTCCACAGAGTACAATTCCATTTTTTGTTTTTCACTTTTTGGAAAGTAATGGTGACCTTTCGAAGCCATAGTGCATGGCAGTTCATCACTCTGATTATAGCGTGAGTTAGCTTACAGAAGTTAACTTACCATGATGCTTCCACAATACGGTATAAATCCAGTATGCTGAATTTTTTTGTGTGCTGCACAATTTTCAATTAGATGATCACAGACACCTGGTTAGTGTTGAGTACATACAGTATTGTGTGTCCTCAGTATGTGCTTTCGCCCATGGCCTGGGGGAGTGGGAAAGAAAGGAAGCGCAGAAAGGTAACTGACTTTGCCACTAGAGCCTCATTGCGTTGCCTATTTGTCTAGGCATTGTGGGGGGAAGAGGTGAGGACTACAACAGATTCTATTGCCATGTGTGCGTCTGTGTGTATACATGTGTGTATTTCTAGTGTATTCACAAGGAGGATAACCTTTGACCCAGGTAAACTTTGATCTCTCGTCTGAGCTGCCCATTCAGCTCTGCAGTATGTGTGTATGTCAGGGAGAAGACTTTTTTGTTTCTTTATACTTTGACTTAATCCAATACAGTGTAATGTGTTAGATGAATGTTGTAGGTGGGCTAGCTGTTTAGTCAGGGAATGTAGTAGGATTTTCTGCATGTAAATATAAGGCTGATTGTAGAGAGGATGAACATCAGGGTGGCCCTCACTTGTATGACTGTGAGCGTGTGAGTGTGGACTAAAAGTATGTGCTTGTGCACATGGTGAATGTGAGTAGCCATAAATGTTTATTTGTAAGCAACTTTACAATGAATGTATGTTCATGTACATGGCTAGTGAGTGCGTGTGTGGGTGTGTGTGTGTGTGAGGGTCACATCTGGAGAGCGTGTTAGTTGTTGGAACTAATAAACTCTTTCTAGATTATTCGCTCTGTCTAAGTGTCTCTTTAAAGTAAAACTGGTCTGTTTTTACAAAGTAATGACCCACACATGCAGTTATGTTTGGGAAAGCAATGCTTATTTGTTCTGGTGGTCTATAGGATGAGAACACAGTTGAGTACAGGATCGACAACTGGGAATCATGTCACATTATAGCTGTTTTCATACATGATCTAATTAGGTTTAATGACTACTTAATAAGGTACACATGATCATTTGACACCATGAAGCCACCCTGTCAAAGTGTATGTTATCAGCTGAGAAAACCACATGCAAAAGCTGAACTCAGTAATGCATAATGGACAAATAGCTGAATAGCAATTTGGCCTCAAACTTTACCTGCATTACCTAAATTTATGTATAAAGTTGTCTTACAATACGGTCTGGTCTTAATCTAAGTTACAATAAAGAATAAACACAATCTGTTTAAACGAATAACACAAAAATAATGTATTGTTCTTGTCTATATTGAAAACATCCTACAAACATTCACAGTGTAGGTTGGAAAGAGTATGTGAACCTCATAGGCTAATGACTTCAATGAAAGCTAGCTGGAATCAGGAGTTAGCAAACCTGAGGTCCAATCAATGAAATGAGATTGGAGGTAGCAAGCAAAGGAAAGCAAAGTTTATTTATGTAGCGCTTTTTACAACAGGGGTTGTCACAAAGCAGCTTTACAAGGAAATCAGCATTACAGAAAGAAATCCGGGTCCAAGCCCCCATGAGCATGCCAGAGGCGACAGTGGCAAGGAAAAACTCCCTAAGAGAAACAGGAAGAAACCTTGAGAGGAACCAAGACTCAGAAGGGGAACCCATCCTCCTCTGGTCAACACCGGATAGTAAAACATTGTTAGTATAAAGTATTATAGGACAAAAACAGGGAAAACAGGTGGAGCAAATGATTCATTTGATTAGTTAAGTTCATGCAGCAGCAGCAGCATCAGTGGGGTCAGGTTGTGGGGGTGAGGTTTGCACAGCGAGCAGTGGCACCTGATCAAGGCAGAAGAGGCAGCAGCATCAGAATGCACAGGATGGGCAGCTGTTCAACTCGGCAAAGAAAAGAAAGAAAGGAAAAACACAAAGTCAGTTCTGTAATGGGTGATTGATTAATTTGATTAGTTTAAATGATTGATTAGCTCAAATGATTAATTTTGTCATTTTTTGTCATTAATTGATTAAGGTGTCAGTTAGAGCTACTTTGACTTATAAAAAACATTTAAAACATTTGAATTTCAGATTTCAATAATAAAATTTCAATGTTAATTTTGCATAAACCTGGAAAGGGTTATAAAAATCTTGAAGAGTTTAGGTATTCATCAGTCAACAGTTAGACAAATTGTCTGTAGATGAAACAGATTTAGTACTGTGCCTGCTCTCCCTAGAAGTGGACACCCACCCATCACTCAAAGGCCCAAAACAGAATGTGTAATGAAGTCAAAAAAGACCCCTAGAGTAAGAGCCAAAGGCTTGAGTCATTGAAATGTTAACATGTCTGTTCATGAGTCAGCCATATGACAAACATTGAACAGGCATGGTTCCTGTGGCAGGACACCACGGGGGAAGCTGCTGCTCTCCAAAAAAAAAACAAAAAAACAATGCTGTACACCTGAAGTTTGCCAAAGAACACCATGGCTCTCCAAAACGCTACTGGGAAAATATTTTGTGGACTACTGAAAAACATTAGAGATTTATTTGGTAAGAACATGCAACACGTTTGGCACTGTATACCAACCTGAAAACATCATCATCCCAACAGTGAAGTATGGTGGAGGGAGCACATCATGATTTGGGGCTGCTTGGCTGCCTCTGGGCCTGGACTGTTTGTCCTAATAGATCTGAAAATCTGGAAATGCTTGCTTGAGCTTATTGCTGCCAAAGGAGGTCCAATCAGTTATTAAATCCAAGTGTTCACTTTTTCCACCTGCAATGTGAATGTTGCATTGGTGTACACAATAAAGACAAGAAAGATTACTATTGTTACTTAATGAATAACAGATCACATTTTATGACCAATTAATGCGGAAAACTAGGTAACTCCAAAGGGTTCACATATTTTTTTGCCATTGTCCTGTCAGACATTTTAAAAAGGAATATAAACAGTGTCACAGTGTTTGCTATGAATGGGGGGTGCTTGTGTATGTCTTATAGAGATTTATAAAAGATTTTAAAAATCAGGTCATAAAATGTCTTTTTTACTAGAGGTATTAAATTCTAAGATGATGCCTAAAGACTGAGTTAAAAAGAGTCGTTGGCCACCAAAGAGTAATAATCCAGCCAATAGCAGTACGGTATTCAGGAACTGACCAATGATGAAGGGCACAAGGACAGCAGAACTAAAAGTCAAAGACGCTGTCAAAGAAAAAGTGATAGCAGTTGAAGCTAAACAGGTAAACTGTGACGAGGCCTAGCGATTAGAACTAGATGAGACATGTCACACCGTTCAGCCATAACATTTAAAACACCTCCTTGTTTCTACACTCATTGTCATTGGGTGGTGAATCATTTTCGGCACTGCAGTAACACTGATGTGGTGGCAGCATTAGTGTGTAGTGTTGCGCACGTGGACATAATTGTTGGTACCCTTCTGTTAAATAAAGAAAAACCCACAATGGTCACTGAAATAACTTGAAACTGACAAAAGTAATAATAAATAAAAATTTACTGAAAATCAACTAATGAAAATCAGACATTGCTTTTGAATTGTAGTTCAACAGAATATTTTAAAAAACAAACTAATGAAACCGGCCTGGACAAAAATGATGGTCCACCTAGAAAAGATTGAAAATAATTTGACCATAGGGATGTGTTAAACTAAGATAGGTCCTGTAATTAGTAACACAGGTGTCTTCAAACTAATCAGTCAGTCTGCCTATTTAAAGGGTGAAAAGTAGTCACTGTGCTGTTTGGTATCATGGTGTGTACCACATTGAACATGGACCACAAAGCTAAGGAGAGAGTTGTCTCAGGAAATTAGAAAGAAAATTATAGACATACATGTTAAAGGTAAAGGCTATAAGACCATCTCCAAGCAGCTTGATGTTCTTGTTACTACAGTTGCAAATATAGAAGTTTAAGGTCTATGGGACTGTAGCCAACCTCCCTGGACGTGGCCGCAAGAGGAAAATTGATGACCAATTGAAGAGATGGATAATACGATAATATTTGGATAATATTTGCCAAAGTGCATATTTACAAGCCAAAAAGCTTCTGGAAGAATGTCCTTTGGACAGATGAGACAAAACCAGAGTTTTTTGGCAAGTCACATCAGCTCTATGTTGACAGATGCAAAAATGAGCATACAAAGAAAAGAACATTGTACCTACTGTGAAAGGTTGGGATGAGGCTCGGTTATGTTTTGGGGCTCCTTTACTGCATCTGGCACAAAGTGTTTTGAATCTGTGCAGGGTACAATGAAATCTCAAGACTATCAAGGCATTCTGGAGCGAAATGTGCTGCCCATCGTCAGAAAGCTTGGTCTCAGTCGCAGGTCATGGGTCCTCCAACAGGATAATGACCCAAAACACACAACTAAAAACATCCAAGAGCGGCTAAGAGCAAAGCATTGGACTATTCTGAAGTGGCCTTCTATGAGCCCTGATCTAAATCCTATTGAACATCTGTGGAAGGAGCTGAAACACGCAGTCTGGAGAAGGCACCCTTCAAACCTGAGACAGCTGCAGCAGTTTGCTCACGAGGAGTGGGCCAAAATACCTGTGGACAGGTGCAGAAGTCTCATTGAGAGTTACAGAAATCGCTTGATTGCAGTGATTGCCTCCAAAGGTTGTGCAACAAAATATTAAGTTAAGGTTACCATCATTTTTGTCCAGGCCAGTTTCATTAGTTTGTTTTTTAAAATTATTCTGTTGAACTGTTTTATTTTATTACTTTTATCAGTTATTTCAGACCATTGTGGGTTTTTCTTTCTTTAACAGAAGAGTACCAACAACCTTGTAGGTGTAAAGTCAGAAACAGTAGCTCATCTGTTCCTGCACTGTTTGTATCGGTCATCCTTTAGTCCTTCATCAGTGGCCACAGTACGCTGTTGGTTGGATATTTTTGGCTAGTGGACTATTCTCAGTCCAGCAGTGACACTGAGGTGTTTAAAAACACCAGCACTGTGGTCCACTCATACCAGTGCAACACACACTAACACACCACCACCACATCAGTATCACTGCAGTGCTGAGAATCCACCACCCAAATAATCCCTGCTCTGTGGTGGTCCTGACTACTGAAGAACAGGGTGAAAGGGGGCGAACAAAGTATGCAGAGAAACAGAAGGACTACAGTCTGTAATTGTAAAACTACAATGTGCACCTATATAGTAAGTTAAGCTGATAAAATGGACAATGAGTGTGGAAAGTGTAGAAACAATGTGGCGGTCTTAATATTATGGCTGATCGGTGTGTGTCCACGTTTAATTTTTAGCCAGTCCATTAATAAATGCCACTTTTGAGTTCATGTGTTGTTGTGTGGTGGAAACGGTATTATTTTCCTTCCTTTGAGAAACCTGTAACCCTGTAAACATAAAGGAAAATGGACCAGAAATATCATCCTCTTAAAGTTCTAGACAAATCTCTGAATACAAACACTGATAATCAGTACATTTTAAAATCTGAAAGCTTCCCTCACTAATCATGACTGAGGAATCAAAATCTTCCATAGGCTGTTTGCTCAGGTAGGTGAGTTCAGGCTTGTGTGAACAGAGGACTGTAGTAAAATTGCTATAAATCCTCATATTGCATCTTTAATGAGTGTTACTGTAAAGATGAGGCTCATGCACTTCCTCCTTTCTAGCTGAATAAAGCAGCATGTGTTCCACTGACCAAGGCATAAATCACAGTAGCTTTAATAACACCTTGCTGCTCCAGGTAAGCTCCTGGTATAGCCTAGCTTATATTTATGTATCACTGTCCAGTCATTGCAGAGCGTGGTAGGCTAATTGCCTCCTTTGGGATTACAGTTCAAGCATGTTTGTCTCACAAGACAGAGGGATATGAAGAAACCGTCATAACAAAGAACTCTAAACACAGCAGAGGTGAGGCTACTGAGGGGAATCCAGCACATTTTACGGCAGTGGAATATTCCTAAGCAGTTTAAGGTTTACAGTATGAGAGAACGGCCATACAAAATGCGGAGCAGTGTGCTGCCTAAATTGAGCAGACACTGCCCGTCTAGCACAATGATCCATTCTCACCCCTCATCCACACACCGTCTGCGCGCGCTACCGTTGACTACTGCACACAACAAAGGCGCGCGCGACCCTCCCCTCTCCTCCCTCCCGTTGCACGTTCTCTCTTGGTTCTTCCCATGATGCCCCGCGAGCGCCTGCTTGGACCGAGCCGCCATGTTGTCGGTGTGAAAGCCAGGGAGCCGCAGCGAAACCGGGGCTGAAATCCGTCACCATCCGCATCCTCCACCTGTGAGTAGCCCGTTTGTCGTGAAGCCCGGTGCTCCTCGAGACCCGAGGCGTCTCTCCGCGCGTGTATCTGCGCGAGCAGAGCCGTTAGCGAGTTAGTTTTGAGGGCTGTGTTTAGAGGCAGTGTCTCCCTCCCTCCCTCCTCCTTCTTCTCCTCCTCCCTCCGGCTCTTCCTACTGTTGTGCTGCTCTTCCTGTCCAGACGGCTCGGGCCTTTTGTTAGCGGGAGGAGGACCTGTAGGATAGCCCTTAGCCGGCCCAGGGTCGCACAGGTACCGTTTCGGTGAATGTTTATCACCCGGGTCCCGTTTTCCCGGCTCCGGCGGCGTGTGGTTTATTTGTGAGTGCTGTGTTTGCTGAGGGCCGGGCTGTGTGGTTACAGTATGAGGCGGGTTCGCCGAAACGGTTCGGACTCATGTTGAGACAGTTCGGCCCTTCGAATGTTCGCACATTCTAAACGTTGTTTCGTCACAATGCTTTCTGCTCGCGAGGCTGTAACGTCTCCAAAATGTGCCTTTGTGTTTCTGCACGTTACAGTAACGCGGCTCTCTCATTTGCTCTGTTAGCATGCTGTGCTTCAGCCCGGGCAGCTAAACGTTTGATGTTAGCTCAGGACGGTGTGTTGGTTGAACGGAGACGCTCATTTGAACGATAAAAGAGACAGTGTCATTTTTTGGAAGTTTGAGTGCGTGCTAAAGTGATGATTAACCCCGTTATGGTTTCGGTATCCACTTCCGGGAGGCGTGTGTGAAATGGCCGGTGTTTTCCCTCTGACTGCCGTTGGAAACACCGCGAATGTGGACGTTTGAATGCTCCTCACAGCTTCTCTCGTGGCTATAGTGTGTGTGTGTGTGTGTTGTGAGGTGTTGTGCTGGCGATGTTATTAAGCCTTTCTACCTTTTACACTTCAGGCCTGCTCGTGTGTTTCCCGTAAGTGCAGACATGAGGTGTTGGGGCACTGGTAGGCCATGCCTCTCACAGGCTTAAAGAACTTGAGCAGTTTTCTGCTTTTCAGCATTGTCTAACAGGTAGGATTATGAACGATATACAGATCTACAGGTTCGATGCCCGTTTTCATGCTGATGTGAAGATCAGACTCGGTTTTGTGTTTTATGTGTTTGTCTTGATTCTGCACAGTTGAAGTTATAGACTACACAAGCTGGTTTGGCTTAAATAAAGAAGACAGAACTTTCTCAAGTAGAACTTTCTCAGCTCTTTGATTCAAGCCCCAAAGATGAAAGACCAAGCTGCGTACCAGTGATTTTATATTTTGATACATTTTTTGATGGTTTTAAAATGTACACCCTCATTAAGCCTCATTACTGCTTAACCCAAAATCATCTTTACAAGGTGCAAATGCTACTATAAATACATGCAGTTGCACTGTTTTCTGAAGTAAGTGACTCATCAGACTTCACCTTTACCACCTCTTTTGGGTTATGACGGTATGGAATATGTGTACCTTTTCAATAAAGGAAGGCGCTTCTGTGGTAAGTTGTTAGTCAAATGCAGTGAAGCTCTGTTGCGCATGTGTGCTTTCCCCCTCCAACACACTCATCTTTCTCCCTCACTGCTTAATAACTAAGACCATATTCTTAGAAATTGTCTGCATGTCAGTGATGTCACAAGTTGTGGGTCTCTTGATTAACCCATTAATTTGCATATCTATTAATTCTATCAATTTATTTCTATTCTGAGCTTGCCTGAACACATTTCGTTAATGCTTATGCTTTTTAAGTCTCTGGTTTCATATTCTGTACAGATATTTTTATGATATGTAATAGCCAGTACATAGCCCCAACGCGGTGCAAACTCCTCTTACTAATAGAAGTGTCACATGAACCAATCAGTTCTGGAAATATTTTTAGACTATAGGTTGTGTGAAAGACACAAAAATGACTCTACATTTGAAAAATGTACTTAAAGTGAGTTGTGCAAAGAAAATTGTAAACCCTGAAATTTCCTGCAGCAAACAAACCCTAGAAATTGAGTAATTAATGTACCTTTCCATTTACTAAATAAGTGGTTGGAACAAGGGAAGAGCTGACATATCAAAATATCCTGACATTTGGAATGACGTTTAGCAATATTTAAAGAGAAATTGGCTGATCTGAATCATGTTTTTGTCCCTCAATTTTCTAAATACTACTGGATTGCAAGATTGAGATTTTGGTGCTGGCCCACATCAGATTTGGTATTATTTGCCATCTTTGGTAAGAGCCTTTTCCTTTGTTTTGTTTTTATTGTTTTTCTCTCCAGTGCCATTCAACATCAATTCCTATCCTCTGTCTGAATTTGATATACCTGACTTTTTGTTCTCCAGCATTAGTTATGGGCAGCTCCCATGTCTAAATCTCCCCTATCCTTTCAGTACTTCTAAGTTAGGGTTAGTCAGTCACTGCATCTTTTTAAGTTGCCACTTCTAGGAGAGTGCTAACTGCCCAGTTCTGTGTACATGACCAGATAGGCTCTGACGATTGGCTAGCATCACTCTGAATCCTCTGAGACAGAGTGCCCAATCTATCAGTATCACCAAGTTGTGCTCTTGTGGACTGTCAGCCTTGAGTGGCTGTAGCATCACTGGAAATCAGGCTTGAGTTATAGTGATAGGACACTGATTGCACCACTTGAGAGCCCTGTTGGCAAGAACCGTTTTCATTGAGAGTATTAAACTTTATGTATTTTTAGACTTTCTGTCTAAGATAATGCGTGTGGTGTAAAAATTCAAGAAAGCTCCATTTGATTTAAATTATATTACAGTTGTTTAAATATTATAGGGCATATTTGAGATGAGATGAGATTTTGGGATTAGTTTGGAGTTTATTTTTCCTCAGATGTTTGTCTGTAGTCTTGCCTGTAAGTTGAAATTCATAGCCAAAATTCCACTAGCAATTGGTAATTTGAGTACCAGATGCCTTGCATTACACAAGTTACTGGAAAATTGTACTGTGTAAATTAAGTATAGTGGATATATTGAACACATTTTATTGGCTGTTATGGCTCCCATTGACTGACAGCACAAAGTCCTGCTAAGCCTGTACTCTGCCCCTCAAATCAGCTAACATTATTCATTTTAAGAGCACAATAAAGAAAACATCTACTTTTTTTAATCGATCACAAAAGACTGTAAAGGGTAATGGCTTATGAGAACTGACAGGAGGATTGATAGTAAACCTACTGTTATTAAGACAATAAATAATAAATTTTATATTGGTATTCAGCATTTTTAAATCATTAACAAATTTTATAACCCTTTATGTTATAAAGTATTAATCAAATCAAATAACCGCAACTAAATTTCATAACCTTTTAGTACACATTCAAGTATTACCATACTAATGAAAAGTCCTTATTAGGACACTTACATGGCATGTTATGCTTTTTGTTGTTTACAGATTTGTCCTGAAGTCAAATTACCATGGTAAAATCCATGTTTTTATCCATCACATAGTGACATACTTTTATGTGGATATACCTCCCACTCATAATCTAGCCATAGACTTATTTGTATGAGAAGGCAGCAAAGATTTATTTTGACTAGCTTCTAGCTACCAAAGAGTGACTGTGAAACCTACAGTCAACCATATACTACATGTATATGACCCCCCCTTTTTTTTTGTTACAGCCCATTAAGGGTGTGACAGTTCACAAATTTTATAATTCAGTGAATTGATTTGATATAGCACAAATAAAGAGTGAGGTGCTATAGTGTTCATGTTTCCATTTTCAGTTTGTTAGGCCATTCAGCATCACTAAATTACAGTATGTGTGAGGCAAAAGCTGTGCTTTAGACTGCTCCTATCTAATGCTCTGGCCTTAAGCTAATATATTAGACCCAAGCTGACACCCTACCCACTAGTGGTGTAACGGTTTATTTTATTTTCTTGATGCCGCCTTTATAATTCCACCTGATGTAACTGCATTGATCATAAAAGCGAAAAAAATAATGGTGAATCATATGCATCAGTCAGAATTGCTACCGTTAAATGCTACAAATCAAACAAATCATGATTTAACAAAACTTTAATACTTTAATAAGCAAATACATCTGATATTCTCCCCAGGCTTAGTGTGTGAGTGCCTGAGGAAACTCAGAAAAAGAGATTTACAAAGCGCTGCCCAGATCATAAAGTAGTCAACAGCTCTCTATTTTGGTTATAATTTAGTTTAATGAGACTTTGACAAGAGAATACTCGATATGAGTGCTTTGCCGTTGCCACATAATGCCTTTATACATAGAAGGCAGAGAAGTTAGCCAAAATGCTGCTGCTCAATCATGGCAGTCAGAGATTTTTTTGCTTTAACACAGCCAGTTTGCATCTTGACTCACTTTGCAGTCACTCGGTTTTCATGTAGAAAGCGTGATATTGTAGAGATGTGTATATAAAAATGTGTTAATCCTATTTTTTTTTAACATGTATGTTATCTGGTTCCATTGACTTACATTAAAAGTAAAGTGTGTTTTTTCCTTCTCCTGTAAAGTCAACTTTTTTGAGATACAAGGTTCTCTTTAGACAACAGCAATGTACTGCATGGGTCATAAACAACTAGGCCTATACAAAGTGTCCAGAGGGTCCATCAAGAAAGTTTATTGTAGCCTGTGTAAAAATGGAATCGTGAGTGTCTGCATTGCTATGTTGTTATAGAAGTTATGTGTCAGAACATATCATTTCTTGTGGAATGGTTTTTTAAAAGGTCCGTTCTACAAAAATCAAAAGTTTATGACTGTCCATAGCCATTTTTTATTTGTCTTTGATTAATACATGTTTCTGTTACTTCAAACTAAGAAGAAGTTTGGCTTTTTAAATTGTGTGAATATGTTAGTTTGGAGTTATCTGTAGTCTTCAGCAGAGTTTATTGTAATATCTGCTTTCATGGCTAACAAGTAGAAATGCTGTCTGGCGAGGTCATGTTTCTGTTTGAGAAGCTACTGTAGATCAGGTATGTGTGTGTTGTCATTGTTATGGGTTAATTTGATATTGTCTTTTAACTAGAGCATCACTGGTGTGGGTTTTTGGGAACACATAATATTACACCAGAGAAAATCAGATGTAGTGCTGGTTTTTGTCAGGTTATATAATTAAAATTATGTTGAACTAAGTAAATGATAACCAGAATGAAGAAAGTCATGCTAATGTGAAGGTTTAACAGGTATAACTATTTTTGAAGTTTAACATTTGTAAATTGAGCTAACACAGAGGTGTTTAACTAACTCACTGTGAATTTTAATTGATTTGGTCAGTTTAGAGGAAATAAATGTTCTTGTGCAGCCTCATAAGTGCAACGTTTACTTGACATTCGTACATTGTCGGAAAAACTTTAGGTGACAAGTTGTGCGCTCTAACAGTGTTTTAATTGAACTTAAATAATCCTGCTAACAAGTCCTGCACAGCTTCATTAGTTAATTATTACCTTCCGCTGCTTCTTTATGCTGTCCCCAAATAAAAGTTCCTTTTCTGTGGTTCCAGTCAATAGATTATGCACATTTTCACATGGAAACCCGTCTTGCATAGAATCCTGGTATTTCTCATGGTGGCTAGCCAGCATCCTGAATTTGAACTGAATTAGTTGCCATTTCTGGCGATTGTGATTATTTACATCTTTATGTACTTACTATGAAATGTGACTTTGTTGTTTCAGCTATTTGTTGGTTCCCATATGTAGAAAGACTTTAATTCTAACTTGGCAGGTTGTTTATTTTAAGTAGGTGCAACAGAATTTTTGTGTTGTTTACAACCAGCTGGTCCTGGTTTGAAGAGCATGATATAGCGTAGCAAGCTCAATATAGTCGGAGGATCTTGAACAAAGCGAAACTTCCTCAGTTAGGCTTAACTGATATCACAAAGGTAGATTCCACATAACTAAGTCAGCACAGACCCCACCCTGGACTGTTCCAGTTTCAGTTGTAAATTAAACTGGTTTGCGCACAGCACTTCACACAGCACTGCACACTCTGCGTAGCAATAAGGTCTCTGCGCATGTGCACTGTACCATAGAGCTCCACAAGTTCACCCAGTGCCTTAAACCAGGCTGATACTGCGCTTTGTTCAAAAATCCTGTTTAATATTTGATTAACAAAAGAGACGTCTGAACAGAAAAATGAAAATCAAGAAAACTTCATAGGAGTTATATTTGGCGTGTGTGCGCAGTGTGGTTTACAGCAATGGCTTATGATGCATCCTTGCATATTATTGATTGATTATACTGATTGCAGTGTAGCAAGATAGACTACACACCATGATTTATTAGAACTTTCTTGTATAAATTCCTGCTCTGTTAAAAAAAAATGGTGTAGTATAGTGTTAATCTGCACAAAAGAAAGATGGCTTACTGCAAGAGACAATGCACATTTCAGATTTCAAAGCAAAATATTGTGAACTTTGAAGAACTTTTTCATTTATGTGGACATGTTAATGTTGTATTGACTATTTGATCTTCTGCATGCCCGGACACAGTTATGAGTAAGGAGAGAGTATCTCTTAACACAGTTTTTGTTATTCATAAGTGTTGGCGTTTGTTGGAGTTGTGTATAGATTGAAGTATCAATTGCTGCCAGTGTTGCAGAATGTTTATATAGTTTTGTTCCTTCGTTTTTACTGGATTTGAAACTTTAAAATCAAATTTGAATCCTAGTGAATTAGGGTCAGCTTTCCTTTTCAGGTCTAGGTAACATGACAGGTGCACTGAAGAAACTTTCAGTTTACCATGGCTACTTCCTCAAAAAAGGGAATTAAGAGAAATTTAGGCTGCCGTTAGTTAACTGGTGAAAAACATAGGCTTCTAAATTTTTTTCACAATGAAGATCTTTTATCTCTTTAGTGTCTTTAGACTGCTCACTGACCTTTTTGTATTGTCATTGCAATTCTTAGTGTTTAGAGTTTGAAGTTGAGAATTATCTGATAGCAAAATGTCTGTCTTTTTTTTTTTTTATGAAATTACATCGTTACATTGCTTTGCATCGCAGTAGAGCGGGGCAATATGGACAAATTTTATCACAAAATTTTTTTATATTCCAATATCGATACATAAATGTCAAATACTTTTTTTCTTTTTTCTTCTTTCTTCTGAGTGGTTAAATTATCCTTTATGGTTGGAACATGACAAACACTTGCCATATACTGGAACATTTCACAAATCTGTTATGGGAGAAAGTTCGGGTCAGCTGTTTTTACGAGCACAGCTGCAGCTTTTGTAATATTCATCATTTTAAGAAAGAAGAAATTATTTTTAGCTGTCTGGTGACGAGTGCTCAGCTATCTGGTTACAAGTTTTAAACTGTTTAGTTTCTCAACAACGTCAGCTTAATATGAACAGCAAACATTAGCTGGCTCGGTACATCAATGATGGATCACACCGCCTTACTGCCATCACTCCTACCACATCCATGTCAGAGAGTATCACAGTGTTCAAACCTCAGCTAGCAGACATCTGGATTCTTCTATTCTATCGTAATAGTTTGAGGGGTGGACCGCAATACATCTGACACTTGCTGTGTAAAAGCATTAATTGCAGTGTGATTCTCTCACACTAGACTAACAGAGTCCTCCTTTTAGGTACGTTTAAACTGAAATCAGGGGGTTTTCTTGTCTTGTTTGATCTACAGTAACGTCAATTCACCGGGCTGTGCGAGTGACAGAGCGCTACTTCAAGTTAGGCAGCAGCTAAAAACAGCTAGCATGGGAAGCCAGGTTCTCCCACTTTCCAGTGCCACACATAAAACCTGGTTACAGGAAAACAGATCGCCGAATGCTCCACTCAAACAGGGAATATATAACTCCACGTTTCAGACATTGCCAAAGTATGTTTGGCGACTCACTTTACTCATCACCCCCTCCCTCTCTAATCATGTCAAAAAACTTGGAAAGGTGCCCTCTTGTGGTGACAGCAGAGTCATGTCTATTTCCTTGCAGTAGAAAAAGCCACCAGGGCTGTCGCTAGAACGCAGAAGTGTGAGAATACTCTATTTTATTGAACCTTTATGAAACAATTCTTATATTTCTATCGAGGAGTGTTATATCATAATATTTATTGTTATCGTTTTATCGCCCAGCCCTACATCACAGTGACTGATTTCACAAAATGTGGCCAAAACTGCCAGGGTTACACAATCATAAAATTATGATCTTGATGTGCTTTTCAGTTGAATTTTAACCCTGGCCACAATGTTCCATGTGCCCTCATGAGCACTATGATGTGTGTGCCTTAATGGGTTTGGTTCATGTCAGTTTTCTCCCTTTCAGTGGTGCACGTGAGCTGTTTGAGTGGTGATAGCACCTCCTTGTTGCAGATCATTAGCTTTCTGAGCATGCCGAGTTACGAGTTATACCCATGAGGGGCTTCATATCTGTGAATGTTTTGCAGCAGAAATGGCATCACTGTCAAGCTAGTAAATATTAGCTGTGACTGTGGTTTAAAGCTATTTTGTCTTTTTACAGACTTCATTTTTGCAATAATTGTTTTGTTTATAATTTTATTTCAGTTGTAATGTAGGTTGTGTTCTTTACAAATACATGTATTGAATCATGAGAATAATGATAATTCTGGAGTAAATAGGAATCTTGCACCCTGCAAACCACATCTCTCGAATTATTTGTAATAGCATTCAGAATTTAGCTATTGATTGTTTATAAATTTGAAAAACTCATTGCTGGATCAATGTTGGAACATTGTGTGTTTGTGTTGCTGCCCTGCAGGCTCTGGTGGAATGAGCGTAGCGTGTGTGTTGAAGAGGAAAGCTGTGCTCTGGCAGGATTCATTCAGCCCCCACCTCAGACTGCCTCCCCCTGACAGGCCATTACCCAGCATGCCTGTGGTGCTGAGTGCCGCGGGCCACGCCTCTCAACCTGGTCCTGCTCCGCAGGCCCCTCCCCCTGCACAGGGGGCGGGGCGTTCTCAAGATGATGCAATGGTGGATTACTTCTTCCAGCGGCAGCATGGCGAGCAGCCTGGATACAACAATGGCAAACACCGCTGGCCCACTGGAGATAACATTCACGCTGACAACCAGGTTAGAGCTACTGCATTGTATAGACACATAAAATAATCAGTTTTAATTTCCAAATGCTGTCATATAGGATCTTGAAGTATCCAGCTCTTTACAGAAATTGAGTATATTTGTATGCTTGCATTTAATGGTCTATGATATTGGTTGCCCCGTGTGTCACTCAGGTGCGGTCGATGGACGAGCTCAACCATGACTTTCAGGCACTAGCTCTAGAGGGAAGAGCCATGGGAGAGGTTAGAGTTCATGCCATCATTATGTTCACCTCATTACCCAATTTCTTTTCACTCCCTTAATGAAGAGTCTTTATTTACTTTCTGTTGCCCCTACAGCAGCTCCTCACAGGCAAGAAGTTTTGGGAATCTGATGATTCAGGGAAAGATGGACCAAAAGGGATCTTTCTGGACCAATGGAGAGACAGTGCCTGGGGAGCCTCTGGTAAATTGTGTGTGTGTGTGTGTGTGTGTGTGGGGGTTGGGTGTAGATGAATATATGGTCGTGTGCCTATGCATGCTTAAATTTGTTCCCAACACATTTATTGCTCATAGTGTATGTCTGCTGAATCCCTAGATCATTCAGTGTCCCAGCCAATCATGGTGCAGCGTCGGCCAGGTCAGGGTTTCCATGGCGTAGGAGAGGCGGGATCTGTGCTTTCACCTCGTTCTGAGAGTGGTGGGCTGGGCGTGTCCATGGTGGAATATGTTCTGAGCTCTTCCCCTGCTGAGAAACTTGACTCCTGTCTGCGTAAAGGGGCCTTTGTGAGTGTTTCCCTGTCTGTCTCTTTAATGGACACCATCTTTCAGCTTTCATAACTTGTTAAGGTATGGCTCATTGTGTTCATGTTTGTACACCTCTGCTTTTCTTGTAGGGTCCTCGGGATGCTGAGGCTGATGACCCGGAGAAGAGAGCAGAGCCAAAACCCAAAACCACTTTTGACCCTGAGAGAAAAGAGCTGAAAGAATCAGAACCTGATCCTATGGACAACCCCAATGGACTGCCCAGTCAAAACGGGCTGGATGTGGATGTAAAGGACTTTAGGTACAGTGCTAATGCTATTCTGCTCATACTCACCATCTGCATATCTAAAGAGAACAGTGTTTCCCATGGAACTTTCACATCCCCTCTGTGTTGCAGTCGTACTCCTGGTAACTGCCCTCCTGCTGGTCCTGAGGTGGAGTTGGGTGGAGCTGAGATGGCTGGAGGGTCAGGACCAAAACCAGCTGAGGAGTTCCCAAATGTTGAGCCCCAGAACGTGACCCTTGACCCTATGGAATCTGTTTCCATGGAGACTCTGCAGTTTGATTATTCTGGCAGCCAGCTGCCTCTTGACTCCACAGCAGCTACTGTTGGTCTCTTTGATTACAACTCCCCTCAACAGGTAAATGCATGTTGCATTTAGCTAGGTTTTTTTTAGCATAGTGAAATGCCATGTAATATTTGTGTTGAAAATAAAACATAACAGTTAAAATACCACATTTACTGTTGAACATTTTTCATTTTATGTGCACACTCTTAGTAGTTTACACCAGAAGATAAGTAAAACATTTGACGTATAGGGTGTTCCTAGGACCTGGAGTAAAAGAACAGTTAATGAGATTCTTGTGACGTAGCATAAGAGATGCCGTATCAGTCACTGCTATTTCTATTTAGTTAATATGTTTTACTATAAGAAAATACATCATTTTAAAAATAATGTATGTCATGTAAGTTATGTAAGTTATTCGCGCAGGCCGACCTTGCTTCTGATTAACAAGTTTGTAGGATATTTATAAAAAAAATACATATATTTCCTTAATTGCAATTATATTTACACAGTGTGTTGTAATGTTATTAATGATAATTTTGGACCTCACATGGAATTTAGCTTATATTGTGAAATACACCCATATACTCAGTTTTTAAAAAGTAATTGGCCAGCTTGACAGATAATTATAACTAGTTACCGTTTGATAGGCAAGATATCTTAGTGAGTGTTAAGTGGCACAGCTCACAACAAAGCTTTGCAGGTGTGAGATTATACACAATGAAGTGTAAATCATGCCAGGAAAATAGTTGTCTTTTATAATTCTACAAAAAATAAGCAAGGCAAAGTAATTTTGTTAACTGGTTAACCACATTTTAAAATTCTTCACACAGAAAGACATTTTTTGTTTATATAATTTAGCTTCTGTGCAGATTTACTGTTCATTTTCATTCCCTGTTCTGTTTCTAATCCATGATCTGTACCCATTTACATAATATCCTGTTCAGTGGAATAAACAGGAGTTAATTAATGGCTATATTGTCACCATGGCAGTTTATTCACACTTATACACCTTCTTTGAATATCATTTCACTTACATTTGTAGTGAGGCTCCCATTTACTCACCAGTTATCCATTTAGATTTTAGGTTCTTGCATCTTGATCATTAAACATTTATAGGTCACTTAGTGAGGCACTGTGCACACAGAGAGTAGTATGGGATTTTAAAATGTTAAATGACATCTTTTGAAATATTTCAGCTGTTTCAAAGGCCCAGCGCTCTGGCAATGCAACAGCTCACAGCCGCTCAACAGCAGCAGTATGCCCTTGCTGCAGCCCAGCAACCGCACATTGGTGAGTGTGTCTGTAGGTGAAGAGTAGTTAGTAGTAGTATTTGTACCATGGAAGTGTACAAGAAAATTTGTTGTTTCAGAAATGCTTCAACATTCATTTATGCTGGCTCTGATTATATTCATGTGATGTTTTGTGTGTTTCAGGATTGGCTCCTGCAGCATTCATGCCGAACCCTTACATCATCAGTGCAGCCCCACCTGGCACAGACCCCTATGCTGCTGGCCTTGCTGCTGCTGCTACACTTGGTATGTTGTCACCATGGAAGCACAACACCATAGCAGAACTGCTTGTTTTAGACAGAATACTAGTATTGCAATTACATTTTATTAAAAACACATTGGTGAATCAGTGTGTCATGATTAAAGGTTAACTTACTTTATTTTGACAAAAATGATTTACTGTCATAGGATCGCATTAATACCTTAATCTTTTGAAACACTTTTATCTGGAGCTGCTTATACCACACAAGTAAACACAGTGATTGGTTAGAAAGCTTATTTGCATATTGCAAGGCCAATGGCACAGTGACAATTAACAAAGAATATATTGTATATAAGGGTAGAAGTTCACCATAGGCATGGCGCAGTGTAATTTATCATGTATTGATCAATTAAGAGGTTAATTTCTGTGCCTATTTGTTTTTAGGTCCAGCAGTGATGCCCCCTCAGTATTATGGCGTGACTCCCTGGGGTGTCTACCCAGCCAACCTGTTCCAGCAGCAGGCCCCTGCCCCCTCTAACTCAGCCAATCAGCAGCCAACAGCACAGACTCAGCAGAACCAACAGCAGGTAAGAAATGGGCTCTTTCTGGGGTAGAAGATCGTTAACGCAGCACTAGCCGGGGTCACCAGCCCTTCTGTAAAATGTAAAACGGTCCTTTTATTTTTTTTTTTTTAACGTTCCATTAAAAGATTAGTCACCAATTCTGTACACCTACCCTCCTATGCTGTTCTTCTGTTGGATAATCACTTTCTTTCTGATATGTTGTACACCTTCAGGTGATGCGTGCTGGAGGTAACCAACGACCCTTGACTCCCAGCCAAGGTCAGCAGGGCCAGCAAACGGACCAGCTTGTAGCGGCGGCAGCAGTGAACTCGGCCTTGGCGTTTGGGCAAGGTCTGGCTGCTGGCGTTCCTGGTGAGACTTGCTCCAGCTTCATTTTCAAAATATAGTATTCTTTTTATTATTCGATGGGCATCAAAGCTTAATGTAGCTTTCATGAATGTGTCTCAGGGTACCCTGTGCTTGCTCCAGCTGCATACTATGACCAGACTGGAGCTCTAGTGGTGAATACGGGAGCTCGCAGCGGCCCTGTCCGACTCATGGCCCCTGCCTCTGTCATCATCAGCCCAACTGCAGCCGGTATTCATTTCACCTTTTTGCTCCTTCAGCCATCTGTCCTTTTATCTGTTACATTATCATTAATTATACACCGGTCACGCATAACATTATGACCACCTCCTTGTTTCTATGCTCATTGTCCATTTTATCAGCTTCACTTACTATATAGGTGCACTTTGTAGTTCTACAATTACAGACAGTAGTCCATCTGTTTCTCTGCATACTTTGTTAGCCCCCTTTTACCCTGTTCTTCAGTGGTCAGGACCCCCACTGGACCACCACAGAGCAGGTACTATTTGGGTGGTGGATCATTTTCAGCACTGCAGTAACACTGATGTGGTGGTGGTGTGTTAGTGTGTGTTGCGCTGGTCTGAGTGGATCAGACACAGCAGTGCTGCTGGAGTTTTTAAACACCTCAGTGTCACTGCTGGACTGAGAAGTTCTCGAACTAAAAATATCCAGCCAACAGCATCCTGTGGACAGTGTCCTGTGACCACTGATGAAGGACTAGAGGATGACCGACACAAACTGTGCAGCAGCAGATGAGCTATTGTCTCTGACTTTACATCTACAAGGTGGACTGACAAGGTAGGAGTGCCTAATAGAGTGGACAGTGAGTGGTCAGTGTTTAAAAACTCCAGCAGGACTGCTGTCTCTGATCCACTTGTACCAGCACAACACACACTAATACACCACCACCATGTCAGTGTTACCGCAGTGCTGAGAATGATCCACCACCCAAATAGTACCTGCTCTGTGAGGGTCCATGGGGGTCCTGACCACTGAAGAACAGGGTAAAAGGGGGCTAACAAAGTATGCAGAGAAACAGATGGACTACAGTCTATAATTGTAGAATTACAAAGTGCACCTATATAGTAAGTGAAGCTGATAAAATGGACAGTGAGCATAGAAACAAGGAGGTGGTCATAATGTTATGTCTGAGCGGTGTACTATCATTTGGAATGTAAGAAGATCCTCAAATTTTGTTTGTATTAGTAAAATCTTTTCTGCTCTTTTACTTTGCTCCTCCATACAGTGGCAGCTGCAGCTGCTTCTGCAAGTGGGGCTAATGCAGGCCTGGGGGGCGGAGCCAGTGGGGCATTTCGTGCATTGAATTCCCAACAAGCTCCAGGTCAGCAAGGAGGCGGGGCCCTGGGAGGAAGCTCCTTTTATGGGAGTGGTTCTCCAAGCTCCTCCTCGCAGAGCTCGTCCTTGTTCTCTCAAGGCTCTGCCCAACCAGGAAGCTCCTCTCTCGGATTCAATGCTAACCCATCTTCGTCCCTTGGTGCTACACTTGGAGCAACACTTGGAGGTTTTGGAACAGCAGGTGTGTGTGAGTGAAGCCATAAACTAAACAGCAATTGTTATTGATAACTTTTATTCTTATGTGTTATACACTTGTTAGTAGTTAATTGGTTGCACAGGGCTTGTCTAAGTGTTACCTTTATTATACTAATTTTATTTTTGTGTCATGTAAGTTTGTCAACATGTAGTTGATGTCTTCTGTGTTTGTCTCTGCAGTGCCTAACTCTAGCTCCAGTGGCTCCCGCCGGGACTCTTTGACAGGCAGTTCTGACTTATACAAGCGCACACCCAGCAGTCTCACTCCTATTGGCCATGGAGGCTTTTACAATGGACTTGGTTTCAGCTCCTCCCCTGGCCCTGTTGGCATGCCACTTCCCAACCAAGGTCCCTCCCACTCTCTAACTCCTCCACCTTCTCTTTCAACCCACGGATCCTCCAGCAGTCTCAACCTTGGTACGTTCGGGCATATACTTGCTGTTCTCTATTACCAGGACTGTTTGGTTATAAAACTTTGTTTTTGGTGTCACTGTGTCTTGGTTGATTTGGAAAGTGTGCATTACTCAGAACTACCTTGACTGAGAATAGAATGACCCAAAATCTTGTAGGTAGACAACTGTTTCCAATGATTCATTTGTGACCTCTTCCTCACAGGTGGTCTGACCAATGGCAGTGGTCGTTTTATCTCTGCGGCTCCTGGGGCTGAGGCAAAGTATCGCAGTGCAACTACTGGCTCCTCCCTCTTCAGTCCCAGCAGCCAGCTCTTCCCGTCATCACGGCTACGCTATGGCATGTCAGACGTGATGCCGTCTGGACGCAGCCGTCTGCTTGAGGATTTCCGCAACAACCGCTATCCCAACCTCCAGCTGCGTGAGATAGCCGGCCATGTCATGGAGTTCTCTCAGGACCAGCATGGCTCCAGGTGTGCAGTCATTTACGACTTTGTGGTAGCCGATTGTCTTGAATCAGTATCATTTGACATTGAGTTTAAGATAACTATTCTTTGCTCTTAAAAAAAAAAAATATGGAAAAACAAAGTTTCTTCACTTTTTGGGAGTAAGAGTTTAAAATGGTGTGTTGTTATTTTTAAATTAAACTTTGGCTTTGGTGCTGTCATTTGTGGGGTTTTCTTTTTGGTTGTTTTACCCCCTTTTAATACTTGACATGAGCAATGACTAGAAAATGATTATCTAATGGCTGTCATAGAAACCATAAAATAGTTCCATACAGCCAAAACCCAAAAGTGATACGTTTTGACTTTTGTGTGTGGCCAACAGTTTTTGTTGGCAGATATTTCTGCGCATCTCGAGTTTGCTGTAGGATGTAAACATTATAGAATGTACCCATTTTTTCCTCTGTCCATAAGGTCCATAGATGGAAAACAAGCTGTAAAAACAGCTTGTTTTTAATTAATTAAAACCCACACAAACATAAATATTACACAAAGTGATAGTCAGGAGAAGAAATAAAATAATGTAATAATGTAATGGAAAATTTACATTATGGCCCCTTTGAAATACAGCATCAATTCTCTGCTCTTGCATTGTTTTACGTTCTTTTTTTCCCCAAGTGTGAATGTGCATGCCTCACTGTGAGACCTGTCGGATTAGATGGTGGATTAAATGTTGTGTATATATGTGTTTAGGTTTATCCAGCTGAAGTTGGAGAGAGCAAGCTCTGCGGAGCGTCAGCTGGTCTTCAGTGAGATTCTGCAGGCTGCCTACCAGCTCATGGTTGATGTGTTTGGCAATTATGTCATCCAGAAGTTCTTTGAGGTGAGGTTTCACTAATAAACCAGGCTATCTGCCAGGCCTTAAGCTCTTATTTCTTTAATTTATTGTTCTGTAGTTACAGCCTAAAATGTACTTAGGTTGTCTGAAATTTATGTTAACTCAAATTCTTAATTTCCTTCTTTGTGCAGTCCTGTGGACATTTCTGATTAACATAGCCAGACAGTTAATGCTGTATTTAGGAAACTTAGTCACTGCATGTTGGCCTATTTTGCATGTCCTAATGGATCCTGCTGTTGTAGCCAACTGTTGGATGTTTTAGCCAATCTCATTTTGTTATTCATCTCTGTAGATGTAGACCTGTAAGTGTTTATTTGGAAGGGTTCTTTTCTGATCTGTAGTGAAACTTAAGTGAAGGAGGACTTAAGATACATAACAAAGAGCTCAAACCTCCAGAAATAAAAAAACACAGAAAACTGTGTATTTTTTTGCATGGTCCAAAGTAAGTGTTTATTCAATTACCAATTAATTCGATTTTTTAAAATGAATGTTGAACCTCAGGTTCTGCTTCAAGCCATTACCAAACCTTGCAACTGCCCATTAGAGGAGGAAAAAAAATCAATTACATCATCTTTTGTCATAAAATATTAACATTGAGTCCAATGGTACTAATTTTTATAGAGCAGATTTTTCTTTTTGACAGAAATAATGCTGTATCCTTGTGTCTAGTTTGGCAGTCTGGATCAGAAGTTGGCGCTTGCTGAGCGGATCCGTGGGCATGTGCTGTCTCTGGCTCTGCAGATGTATGGCTGCAGGGTGATCCAAAAAGCCCTGGAGTTTATCCCCTCTGACCAACAAGTTATTGTGAGTACACACTCGTATCACAACACCTCACACATCTTTCCACTTAATATTGTTGAGGGGAAGAAATGTTTAGTAGATGGACTGATCGTTATGTTTGTGCTTGGTGCAGAGTGAGATGGTGCGGGAGCTGGATGGCCACGTGCTGAAGTGTGTGAAGGATCAGAATGGGAACCATGTTGTCCAGAAGTGCATTGAGTGTGTGCAGCCTCATGCTCTCCAGTTCATCATTGATGCCTTCAAAGGACAGGTGGGTCACCATAGCAACTGGCCTCTAACCCCTTTAGGATTAAATGTCAGCTTTTACATAAACCCGTGTGTGTGTGTGTGTGTATGTATGTATGTGTGTGTGTGTGTAGGGGTTTTCCTTTGATGTGTTTTTGCAGTGATTGAAGTGGCTCTTGTAGATGAAAGGCTCTGTGTGTTTTTTTCTGGACATTCTTTTGTGTGTTTACTGTGCGCGTGTTGTACAGGTGTTTGCTCTGTCCACACACCCCTATGGCTGCCGGGTGATCCAGCGTATTTTGGAACACTGTCTTCCAGAGCAGACTTTGCCAATACTGGAGGAGTTACACCAACACACTGAGCAGCTGGTCCAAGTAAGAAACACGCAGTCTTTATCACTAATGTCTTATGAACATCTTGTCACTGTGATGTATTTGTAATGCTGTTTCACTTACAACCCCAAATCAGAAAAAGGTTGGGATGCTGTGTTAAAATTAAAACTGAAAAGTGATTTGTAAATTATTTTTGATAGGCATTACATTGAATACAGTACAGCAGCATATTATTTCATGTTTTACTCATGAATTTTTGTTTTGTCCCAGTTGGGACAGTGAAGAACTTTTACCACTTTTGTAATGTCATTCTGTTTCACAACACTTAATTTTGTCTAATTTTTCAAGTTTTAAAGTGTGCAACAGTCCAGGGTCTTTATTGTTGCATTTTGCGTTCACATTCTCTGTTGGGGACAGGTTGGGACTGCAGGCAGGCCAGTCCAGCACCCAGACCTTCTTCTGCAGCTGTGCCTTTGTAATGTGTGCAGAATATGGTGATGCATTGTCTTGTTGTAAGTTGTGCTGGCGTCCCTGGAAAAGATGTCATCTTGAAGGCAACATGTGTTGCTCCAAAATCTGTATTTTTTGGCATTAATGGTGCCGTCACAGGAGCGCAGGTTACCTTTGCTAAGAGCGCCGACCCCATACTGTGACAGACTCTGGCTTTTGGTCTTGGTGCTGGTAACATTTCTGTATGGTCCTTTTCGTCTTTTGTCCGGAGCACACAGCATCCATTTCTTCCAAAAATACTTAAAATACTGATTCATTTGTGGATGTAACTATGTATTGTAGTGCTTGACAAAGGTTTGCCAAAATAATCTTGAGCCCATGTGGTTATTATCACATAGATAAATGATGATGGTTATTGATGCAGTGTTGTCTGAGGGTTCAGAGTTATTCGGCTAAGGGTTGCACCTTTGCCCTTTACTCACTAAAATTCCTCCAGATTCCTTCTATTTTTAATGATGTTGCACCAAAGAGAGTGAAATGTTTAAATCCCTTGCCGTGTTTCTTTGAGGAACATTTTTCAATATTTCAATAATTTTTCACTCATTTGCTGGCAAACCGGTGATCTTCGGCCCATCTTTGTTCCTAAAGGTCTAGATGTTTCCTGGATGTTGTGTTTTTTTTTTTTTAAACCAGATCATGATTACAATTAGCTGTTGCCATCACTTGTTTCAAATCACATCATTAATTATTTGCCTCATCGCTAGCTCTAAATTGTCCTCGTCCCAACTTTTGGAGTGTGTTGCAGGCACGAATGGCAGGAGTGGATGTATATTTACAAATGAAATTAAGTTGACCAGCCAAACATGAAATATTTTGTTCATACTGTCTGCAATGAAATACAAGTCAAAGTAAATTTTAGAAAATCACTGCTTTCATTTTTTTATTTGCATTTTCCATACCTTTTTTTTAACTTTTTCTGATTTGGTGTTGACGTTCTTGCAGTTCTTTTGGCTATGCATAGACACATAAGTGGGGATGCACTGATTTGTTTAATGACTGATTCTAGCCTTTTTTTCTTTCATCCAGAAACTTTATTGAGATTAAACAAATTCCAGTACTTTGTTAGCCACAGTCACTATATAAATAACATTTACCAATATTAATACTCATATATATATATATATATATATATATATATATATATATATATATATATATATAAAAATACACTCCTTATTGCACCAAAGTGACATTTTAAATCCTTAGCCACATGAATCCAAAGCCATTCAAAATCTGCCGTCACAGAACTTGTCACATACAACACTGTTGACAGTTGTAAAAATCACTATCAATTTTGGCACATAGAACCGGAGATTTGTGCATACTACCGTGTTTTGTATTACTATATAAAATATGCACATGGCTTCCTTTCTTGCTGAATGTATAATATTTTTTCCGAGTGAGCATTGTAAGCTCCATCAGAACAGACTTTGGATCGGTAAGCACTTATTTTGGAAAAACAAAAACATGATTGATATGTGGTTTGTATTTCTATTCATCTGTTTTCTTGTTCAAAATTATAGTTTGGCATGAACTGAATTTAAAAATCAAATTTTAGGCTTTCTTAAATTGCATTCGTTACATGTAAAATAAGGGCAACATCATTCAGCGGTCACGTTACTGATGGAGTGTTGGCCTTAGTGTTAAAGGAAAAAAATCAGTGGCCTATTTAAATAACATGAATCAAAGTGTCTCTTTGACATAAGAGGCAACTAACTATGCAGTATAATGAGTTAAGCATAATGGTGATAAAACGTTTTGGTATAGGTGTAGCAGCAGCATTTAAATACAGTACAAGTGCACCTACCCGACCCACGTTTAACAGCAGCATCTTCCAGAATAAAAAAAATAAATAAATATCCAGTCTTCCAGAATAAAATAAAAAATTAGCCAGTTGTGTGTTTGAAGAAGAAATCTGTGGATTCTAATTGTGCATCCTTACATAAAAACATTGACTTTGTTCCCTATTGCAATATTATTAATGTTTATTATTGTTTGTGTGTGTATGTAGGATCAATATGGAAACTATGTAATTCAGCATGTCCTGGAGCACGGCCGTGCAGAGGACAAGAGCAAGATTGTCGCGGAGATCAGAGGAAATGTCTTGGGGCTCAGCCAGCACAAGTTTGCCAGGTAAACATAATAAAGTAGTAATTTTACTAATAATGCATAAGTAGTTGCACACCGGAACATCACATTGTTAGTACCATCATTTGTAACTCTGTACGTTTCTCTGTCTGCAGTAATGTGGTGGAGAAGTGTGTGACACACTCGCTGCGTGCGGAGCGGGCCATGCTGATTGATGAAGTGTGCAGTATGGCGGACGGGCCCCACAGTGCCTTATACACCATGATGAAGGACCAGTACGCCAACTACGTTGTGCAGAAAATGATCGATGTTGCTGAGCCAACACAGCGCAAGATCGTAATGCACAAGGTGCATATGTTAGCCTACATAACTGCCTTCCTTTCTTTGCTTTTTATTTCTTCGTCTTTTATCTGTGTATTTGCCTTTCTGTGCTTCCCGTCTTTGTCTCTATCTCATGTGCCCCGTCTTTGAAGCTTACATGCAGACGTGAGATGTTTTCCTACAGTGCATTGTAGCGTGGTTGTTTGATGTTTGATGTTCTTTGTACTTAGATACGGCCTCATATTGCGACCCTGAGGAAGTATACATATGGGAAGCACATCCTGGCCAAGCTGGAGAAGTACTATATGAAGAATGGAGTCGACCTGGGCCCGCTCTGTGCTCCCCCAAACGGCATCATGTAAACTCTTCCCGTTCATCCCCTGATGTGCGTGCGTGTGTGTATGCGTGGAGTTAAGAGCTGTTGGTCTGAGATCACTGTAAACCCTCCCCTTGTATTGCTGAGTCCCCTCTCTCCAGGTCCTTGTGAGCTTGTTCTTGTTTTCTCTTTTTAGCATATTTACACCCAGCCCCTCTCCCACTACTACTTAAACCTTGGTCCTCCTCTTCTGTTTTTGTATGTATGAGATGAAAGAATATTTGATTTGATCCCAGTTTGAATCATGGAGGCTTCCGCATATAAACACTTTATTGCTAATACACGTTTCTAACACACTTTCATAACACAGACACATTACACGCTAACACACTCTTGCTAACATGATGCAGACATTTAGCATGGGAGACGTTTTTGGTCTTGCTTCTATAAATATTTAGTGCATACTTGGTGTAGAACTTTGCATATATATATAAATATATATATAAAACTTTGTAGTTTTTTCTGGTTTTTGATGTCCAATCTGTACCTATAATCTACCCAGTAGTGAATACATACTTCTGATTGTATAATTGTACATTTGTAAACCTTCGCTAATGTAAATGTGGACTTGCTTCTACAGCCCTTTTTGGTATGAGAAGAAGAAAAAAAAAAACAAAATGGGGGAAAAAAAAAAGAATCTTGTGCATTTCAGTGTAAATTCTCACCTCTTTGGTTGTTGTTTGAGTTATGAGTTGTTGTATATTGTAAATTGTAATATCAAATTTTTTTGTTGGTTTTGAAGCCCTTCGGATTAAAATGGCATAGATGTACAAAGAACACAAATATGGGCACTCTGCTTTTAGCCATTCACCAGCCATTTTTTCCCACATCAGCTCATCCCTTAATTTTTTTTTCTTTCCTTTTTTTTTTAAGAAAAAGATCTTTTATAGTCCCTCCCTTACTCCAGGGCAGATAGCAACAAGCGTTTGTGTATGTGCGTGATGCATAGACTGCCCTGGTTGCAAGGTGTGTACAGATTTGCCATTCTTTTGTCTACTTGTAAGTGATTGTAACATTTGATTTGGAACACTCTGCGGTGTATATTTAAACAGCCTTGTGTATATTTCCTATGATCTCTTTATGCGAGCACACTTGTAACCATAATGTGTATAGTTAACAGATGCTGTGTGTGCTTTCTGCCTGGGCAACTATTTTTTGTAACTCCAGTTGTAGATTGTCTCTAAACGATGTGTGATCTTTATTTTGAAACAAAACATGGATAAAAAGCTCAAAATTTAAAAAAGCTTCCAGACTTTTCTTTCCGCTAAATGGTTGTTTTGATGTTTATAATACCGTCAAAATAGTTTTGCTAAGCAAATGTTTACTCTTATTCAGTTTCTGAGAGTACTTGGGAGTTTATTACTGCTGCATGTGATCACTTAAAGGGTTCATATCATGGAAAACCACATTTCCCCCCTTTAATTAGAAGAGTTTGATGTTTTATGTCAATGTTGTTGAAATTTTAAAACCTGTTGTTCACTCCACCAGCCCATTCAGTTTATATGTGGAAACAGCTGCAAATACGACCTGTTTTAAAATCATTGTTTTTTGTGCTGTCATAAAACCCAACTCATTTACTCAGCTGCCTATTCAGCTTACAGCAGTTTAGCTCTGCCCATTCCTGCTCTAGTAGTAGTGTTGCAGCCCACACTGAGTGAATGAGACACAATACAAGACCGCCAAACAGAACAGAGGTCATTTATAGATCAGTCTTAACGGCACAGCAAAACAAATAGCCTGTGTAATTCTAAGGGACAAAGAGGCTGGAAACTGGTCCTGTAAACATGGATTCTATAACCACAAAAATAAGTGGAGCTCATGGGGAAACGTTTTAATGAAATAAGAAAATGTAAGATATTGGACCTTCAAGTAAGCTGCTACTGTGTAAATAGGGCAGTGAAAACTACTGGGAATCTGCAACACATACTTAACAAATCCTGCTTCTGCTGCAGACAAAGGCAAAAAAAATGATTGTGTTTATCATTTGGTGTCAACTTAGGAAAATTCACACAGCTAACTTTAAATGAATCATTCTGAGGCTACTGGTTGGGTTTATTGGACATAAATCAGGTCAGCTCTTGCAACACATCAGGATTTTGTAAACATTGCGGCTTAATCACTGCAGGAAATCACCTCAGTGGGCTGTCATGAACCAAAGCCAGTACAGTAAAAATAGTGGTCTCTCTCATGCACACAATGGACAAAGCAAGTGTTTATAGAAAATAGATTAATGTTGTGTTATTCCTCAGTGAGCCAAAGCCACTATAAAACAAAAACAATTATATTAATGTGAAAGCCACACAATTTTTAAAGCAATCCAGAGAATAGAAAGTGTTGCTGGGGTGTTCTGAGGCAGTAAGTCATTAAACATTAACATGAATATGATGTTACATTAATTCCAGTACACCTCACCTCATTAAATTAATTCAGAGAGTGCTTCTCATTCAAATGACATTGACATTTACTTTTTGTGTGATGAAGCAGGGGTGTGTTTAACGTGGGGGGTGGGGGGTTCAGAAGAGATGGGGTTGTGTCTGGTTTGAGCCCCCCCCCCCATACCTTCACAACACTCATATTAAAACGGTTTAGTTATAACCAAGGTGCCCAGTCTTGGTCCTCGCTCTAATATTCAGATGCCTCAGGAGGCCTTCGTTTCCTGGTGTTAGATGTGGGTTGGAGCTGAACTCTGCGGGGTGGTGAATCACCAGGACCAGGACTGAACACCCTGTGTTATACAATTCCACTTTGGTCGAGCCCGGATTACCTCAGCTTATCATGATGGATCAGATCTGAATCCTGTCAGTCACACACTCACCACCACGTCTGCAAACCTCATCTGTCAGCTCCGTCATTTCGACGCACTGAAGACTGGCCTGCACACACCACACAAGCACAGGTCTGTATTCCCGTCTTAGCGGGGCCAAATGCTGCTGTGAAGCTCAGGCTGCTGTCTAAAATTGAACCAACTCAAACCTTAATCTTATAAAATGATTTATAATAACACAAGAATTATTATTTCTGTAAGAATCAGACAATTACTGTTAACTTTAAGGTAAAAAAAAAGCCTACATTTTACATTACCATCAGACAGAGCTACAGGAATATTACAGAAGGTAAAATATTGTAGATGATTATAGAGGTACAGCACCATAAAATCTACCTCATTATAGTTCACTTACGAAGTTTGTGTACCAAAAGCAGCCAACCTGACCTTTTTAAACTTGTCTTCATCCTTTCGAATTAAACAGGTTGTTTTGCTCTGTATTATGTCTCACTGAAACAGTCGCTGAGTGTGAGTGGGCGGGGCTAAACTGCAGTGTCACAGAAACAATGAATTTGAACGTGGTGTTTTTGCAACTTCCATAATATGGACTGCGTGGACAGCGAAGTGAGAGGTACGGAGTAAGAGGTACGTTTAGAAGGTTAAACTGTCCACATGCTGCTGTTTAGACTATTTTATTTAAGGACCATTTGTTTTTTCACTGTATAAGCCATTTTTGTAACCTCGAAACCAAATTAAATAATTTTCAAATAATTTTCAAACCTAAGCTGAGATCTGTGTGTGAAATATCGCTGTTCTCCTTCGTGGGGGCTTCAGAATTGTTCAAAATTTTTGTACCGTTTGGTCGCCGCACGCATAGACACACTGCGGTGATGGTCACGCGCAGAGCCGCTCGCGCGCGGCCTGCAGGAGGCGCCCTCACACATAGGAGGACAATCCGCCCGAAGCACATCCTCCTCCTGCACGCGCAGAGAGAGAGAGAGAGAGACCGGAGGAGCTCGCTAATTGTGAATCCAAGAGGACCCGAGCACAAAAAAGTGTGAGGAGAGAAGAGAAGCAGAGGCCGCGCGCTGCTCCCTGGCGCTCCGTGTCGTGTTCAGCGGGATTAAATTCCTCCGTGCTCGCAGGCAGACGGATGTACGGACGGTCGCCCTCTCTCAGTTTGGGTCCTGAACACTGAGGAAAGGGTTTGGGTGTTTTTTATTTGTTTTTACTCGTGGAGGAGAAGCGGGGGCGCGTTGCTGCTGCAGGCGTCCGCAGCGCCATGAAGCTCCCGTGCTGGATGGCTCTCGCGCTGCTGCTCGCGCACTCCGTGGCGGTAAGCGGGACGCTCGCGCGCTCTATTGTTGCTGCGATTTCAGCACCTCGTGCGTGCGTGTATGTGAGAGTCTTTGCTGTCTTGTCTCTGTGTTTGTGTGTGTGAGTGCACGGGCATCAGGACAGAACGAGTGCGCGCGGGTGATGGCATCGTGCTTTAGGTGTGTGTGTGTGTGTGTGTAGCCGTGCGTGGCTGATGCTCGCGGTGCTCGGCGGTAAATCTCGAGCCGACCCACATTTGTCTGCGGGCCGCAGACGGCGCGTGTCAGGCAGCGTGTCGCAGGCGGCTCGCGCGCTCGAGCTCCTCACGAGTCTGGGAGCGGTTTGGGTGGCGCGGGCTGCCCCGTGTGCCGTATTGATCTGTGTGTGGGGGTCGGTGGGTGGGTGCGTGCGTGGGCATTGTAGGTCAGGGACGCACATTCGGCCTGCGCCCCCTCCTACAGTGGCCTGTGTCCGCGCTGGTGTGTGGTGGCCTCTCGCTGTGTCTGCGTGTGTGAGTGTGTGTGATTGTAGGGGTGTGTGTATATTTGGTGGGCTATAATTGACGCGTCTTAACTGATTACGCGCTTTTGTGGGCTGCTTCGGTTTTTTGTGCTTAATTACAGCGGGGTTTGGGCACGCGGGGTGGGGTAAGGGGAGTGCGAGGCGGGGGGGCGGCGGGGGTAAAGGGCAGATCGGGGTGCTTTAGGAGGAGACTGGGGTGGGGTTGGGGCAGCTCGGGTAGTGTGGGGGGGTTAGGGTGGGTAAGGAGCGCCTGCAGGGGAGCGCCACAGCGATGACGTCATTTGGAGTCTCAGGCCTTGAGAGAGCTGATTAGAGGCAGTCGGGGCAGAGCAGAGGAAGCTCCTTCTAGCAGCCTATTACTGATCTTACAGCTGTTTAAGGAAGGAAAAGAGTGGCATATCGGAGGATAAACGGTGTCGTGTGGATTTAGGTTGCTCAAAGCCTGAAAGGAGTACTTAAGCATTTTTCAGCCTGATCTCTTTTTGCCCCATCTGTAGCATACAGTGCTTTACCCCAGACAATAACTTTCTCCTGTTTGCCTACACTTAGTAAAATAACAGAAAATAGTGTTTACTTAGCATACACTTATAATAGAAGCCAATTAGGCATGTGCTAAAACACCGTTCCAACTGGCTTCTGTTATAAGTGTGATTCAAGTCAATGGGTTCTTTTCTAAGTGTAGAGAAATTATTGTCTGTGGTGATTGACCATATGCTACAGATGGGACAGATAGAAATTAGGCTAAAAAATGCTGGAGTATACTTTTGAAATATCCTTAAAAACACTGTCCTCAAATACTTGGAAAGGAGGACTCTTTGTCCTGTGCTGCTTTCCAAATGTTAGAACTAGAGGGTGAAATGGAAAAATGCAATGTCACAATACTTTCACAATATGCCATATGTATCACACTGTTTTGTTCTTCTGAGATTTAATATGCTGGAACAGAATGCACCGGTAATGCAAGCTTTTTAAAATGTTACCAAAAACTGAGTACAGTTATTTTTAATCAGTTTTACATACTGCACGGCATTAAATCCACTTAAACAGGACTTTTGCATTAAAACATGCACTTGGTCAGTGTTCTTCAAGTATCCACGGTATTCTCTGAAAAGCATATCATGGCATATTGTTCCATAATTCATCCCAATAATTATAAAATATTGTCATAATGCCCACCTGAGTTAGAACTGAACGCTCAAATGAGCATACCTCTCTGTCTCTCGCTCTCTGCACACGTATTAATTTACACCCACTCTTGCCATTTCAGTGGGCTTGAATGGGTCACTATTGCATTTTACACTGCCCAGAATGAATATTTGCACCAGTCAGATATTGATGCTTCTCTTAAAAGGAAGTCAAATGTAAATCGGTTCACTTACGTCACATCCTATCTGGTCCTGTCTGCCAAAGATGGAGTTTAATTTAGATCTGGAAATGTAACTAAGCGCACACATCTTCCTTCCTCTCTGCTGTGTGAGAATGTGTGTGTATGGGTGAGTATGTGTGTGTGTGAGTGCTGAGGATCATGTTGGTCAGTACTGAATCAGTGTTTTGTGCTGCAGACGACAAAGACAACCATACAGAGAGAGGAGGAGTAGAAAGAGAAAATGGGAGAGAGGAATGTGTGAAGCAGCTGGACACAGGAAATTTCACACACACACATACAAGTGCAACCAAAACAGTCTGTATCAATATCTTGATAGTTACTTTGTAACTAATGCATATTAGAGGTCTGCACAGGCATGAAATTAAATGCCAGACTTGACTCGACCAGGCCCGCTAAATTTGAACCCCAAACCTGCTCATACTAACAGCATTAGATTATTAGAGACAAGATTTACTGAGCTTTACTTTGTTACTAAGCACATCAGTCAACAGAAAATGTCACACAGGGAAAAAACTTGTATTTTACACATTCAGAATTATTTATTATCAAAATATTTTTGGTGGAATTGCTGCCGTACCTGGCAGAGAACAGCATCCACCCTCCTCTGACCAACTGTTAGCCCCACTGTGCTACAGTTCCTCTCGCCGCTGCTGTTACTTGCTGAACACGCTTCGGGTGAGCTTAACAAGCAATGGGAAAGATCTGCTGTGACTTTTTCTCCAACCAATCACATTCCTCTCATCACCCATGATTTCATTCAGGGCCAGAGCTATTACGAACACAGCTAACGCTGAGAGAGGGTGAGCAAAAGACAGCACACAAGCACACATAACATTTATCAGAGTGTGCAAAACCTCCTACATATAAGAACATACATTTGAAAACTAATCTGAACCCGGCACAAAGCCTGATATTGTTTGTTGGGCCCCTTTGGGCCTGGAGCAGGTACCAGACATCTACTGCATATATGATATAAATCAGATTAGTTCAGGAATGCGAATACAACAAAGTGCTTGGATGTTTATTCCACCTAGGCAGTTTACAAAGTTAATATTTTTTAAAACAATGTAGTTTTAAAACACAGATAGATGGAGTTATTGCAGTATTTGGCAGTGCACTTTGAGCTAATCTCTCTCAGAGATTTAGTAGGCCTAATAGTTGCTTGTGTTTCCTCACTTTCTTAAAGGGAATGTTCTTTCTTCTGAAGCTCAAAAACGTTTTAGTCGAATCCTACTAGATAAATCACCGAATGATACCTTTTACTCCTCAGCCCTATAAATGCTCATTTGTATAGTTTGGAAATGATTCAGTTTGTGTTGTTTTCCCATGTAATAACTGAATATCAAGCCTTAGGATGTAATAGGCCAGGCAATTTAAGATGTAAAACCCTAAAGTTCTGTATCTGGGGCCACACTACCATTGCTCATGCTCTTGTTTCATAGAAGTTAACAGATAATTCATACTGAGTAACAAGGCTTATGATTAAAAACTGAATAATAAGACTAGGGTTCAAGAGGTTAACTGGGAAAGAGCGGTTCATTTAAGTGTCAGGGCAAGTGCACTTCACAACTGGGCTGTCTATCTGGGTAAACTAAATAAGCTGCCTCACAGTCACCTCCCGCTGACCTCCACCTATCCACCACACTCCTCCCCAGAGGCTGCCCCACAGGTGATGGATGCTAGCAGGTGAAATCTGGGTCGTGACACCAGTATGGATAAGCGTTTATTACCCCACGCTTCCTCACCTTTGTGCAAATGCAACTTTTGATTTAGCGTCTGCGCCAACGAAAGTGCTTGTCGATTGAACGCCTAATTGTGATTGAGCGGAAATGTAAATGTTTGTAGCTGTCGAGATATCAGCTTGTTTACTGGGGCGCAGTAAATACTCCATGTCCAATACGCTGAGAGCAGTATTTACATAGAAAATGGAAAGAAGGGAAAAAAGAGAGGGGGGGTTTAGAAAGATAAAGGGAAGAAGAGAGAGAGGGATTGGATAGAGAAGTGCAGGGCCGCTTGCTCTTTCCCAGGAGACTGCTTTCTACCTGCTCGACAGAGTCGCCATGACAACCACAGAGCACAGTACAGTCACAGCTTTATCGCAGCCTTTCCCCCCTTCTATTTCTCTTCTCTCTCTTTCTCTCCTTTCTCTCTCTCCCCTCTTATTCTGTTTTTTCTCTCATCTCTGTTTCTCTCTCTCTCTTTCTTCTCTCTATTTCCCTTCTCTCTTTCTTTTCTCTTTCTCTCTCCCTCTTTCAATTTCTTTCTTTTTCTCTCTCATTCTCTCCCCTCACATGCTGTCTCTCTCCCCTCACATGCGCTCTCTTTCCCTCTTACCTTTCTTGCTCTCTCTTCCCGCTCTTGCTCTCTCTCTCCCTCTGTCTCTGTCTCTTCCCCTCTTTCTTTCTCTTTCATTGTCTCATTGTCCCCCATCTCTCTCTCCTTTGTCTCCCTATCTCTCTCCCTCTCACTCTCTGTCTCTCTCTCTCTCCTTCCCTCTGTCTTTCCCCCTCTCTCTCCCTTTCTCTCTCTCTCTTTCTCTTTCCCATCTGTCTCCCTCTCTCTCTCCCTCCCTCTCTCTCTTCCCCCTCTCTCTCTCCCTTTCTCTCTTTCTCTCTATCTCTCTTTCCCCTCTCTGTCTCTCTATCTCTCTCCTCTCTCTCCATTTCTCTGCCTCTCTTTCCCTCTCTCTCCCACCCTCTCTCTCTCTCTCTCCCTTTCTCTCTCATCCCCCCTCTGTCTCTCTCCATCCCTCCCCCTCTCTCTCTCTCTCTCTCTCTGCCTCTCCACTCCCCTTTTCCTCTCTTGCTCACTAATTAAGATGCTGCTCCAGTCTGGTGGGGGAGGGGAAAACCTCTACCTGAGAGACAGACGAGGGGAGGGAGGAGAGGTGGAGGAGAGGGTGATGTAAATGATAGTTTGTGTCTCTGGTGTGTGTGTGTGTGTGTGTGTGTGTGTAAATGTCTGTGTAAGGCTCCAAAGATCACCCTCAGCTTTGTTTTAGATGTACTTATGTTCAGTTCTGCAAATGGTAGTTTGCGACACTGTATCCCTGGAAAAAACTGCAGTGTGATGGAGAGGGTTTTTTTTCCTCTCCCAGATTGATGGACACC